GGAGGAGCGGTAGTTTGAGTCAGAGTAGCGGTACTCTGGAGTTTGATACCGCTACCACTGTTGCTGAGGATGGGCCGGTGAAGACGACGGTGACGGCTGCGCGGTGATGCCTCCACCTTCTGCTCAACGCAAGTGCTCAGTTGTCCATGACATATTGTACAATAGACCAATCGTAGACTAATTCTGTGTCCCGGTGAAGTTCACATCGCCATTTAGCGTCCTTGCTGGAGATATCTGCCCTGGTGCCGCACATGTCGCAGAGATATCGCATGGAAGCATTCTCTGCACTCAAAATTCTGATCAAACGTGCAACATGTCCATGGTCGATTTGGAGACATGAGATAGATGCCTGTCTTGATACGAGACGCTGCAATTGAGGATAAGACACTCACCCACTGCAGTTCGCGCAGTCTGAATACGCAACCAACCCAGCTGCGGGCGTGTCACGGATATATTCGGAGAGAAGCTATTATATACAAGATGAATATATGCAAAATTACTGCCTCCACTCGCGATTCAACACCGGACCCGTACTCCCCACATCCGACCGCCCATCCACATCCTGCCGAATACTCGTATGCACCGTAATCCCCTGCAACTCCACATCAGAGCTATTCCGGCTCGGCGTAGTCGCCACATTAAGCGTCTTCGACGCCGTCGACGCCAGTGTCCCATTCGGATCATCGATCTGCTGAAACCCATCGTTGTTTGTCCTCGACGCGGGAAAGGGGAGTTTGGATCCGGCAGAGGGCTGCGAGTAGCCTTTCGAGACGCCACTTTTGACTTTGCCTAGGAAGCCTTGCACGAGGGGTTTGAGGAGTGGGAGGCAGCCGCAGATGATGGCAACGTCGAGTTCGAGGGAGGTCCAGATGGATTCTTTGGCGCTGGAGGCTGGAGGGCAGGGTTAGTGGTGTTGCCAGGAATGGAAAGGGGAGAAACGTACAGGCAAGATCTGTGACGACAAAGTGGCGGAATTCGATCAGGCGCATCAGACTGAAGATGCAGACCCTGGATGGTCAGTTACGTTCGGCAATCATAGCGGGAGAGACGTACAATCCACCGAGAGAAAAGACTACGGTCAAGGCCATCTTCTGCCGAAAGGTGATCTGCAGTCTCCAGACAATAGGAATCGGTAAACAGAGGATGATGACATCCTCGATCAAGGCAATCGATCCCATAGCCTGGAAGAACTGCACCTGTCCCTTCATGCAGTGTCCATTCAACGACTTGTCATAGTAGTATTGTACCGGCGTGCATTGGAACGTGTTGACCAGGACGGCGGTAAGGGCCCAGACGGCGATGAAGGCGATCAGACAGTTGGAGATGGTGGCATATAGACGGACAGACCCCAGGAGACGCTTGAGGAAGACGATGATGGAGATCTTGACAAAGGCCATGGACGGGGCCCAGAACTTCTGTATCATCCACGATCCCTTCGCGAGTCAGCTTCTACCGTTGTCAGAGCTCTGACAGGTGGGTCAGGAGGGACATACGAATTGAATGCGATACCGCTCATCATGCGGCAGGCTTTTCAGAGGTACACCAACACCGTTGAAGGCAGCTACAGCGGTCAGTTTGACTCAGGGTACTGGGCAAGACGCACTCACTCTCGATTACAAAAGCCGTAGCGCAGTAGGAAATGATCAACCCAATGCCCATCAGTATGTCTTCGAGGAAGAACCCCGCAGCTGTCAGTCGCCTGGAGTACAGACGCAACAGATACGTGACGGTAGCCAAACCGGCCCCAACGATCGGCACGATAGTGAGGACATTTTTCCAGTAGGTATTCTGCTTGTACGCCATTTTGGCGATGGAGAGAACCGAACGAAATGTGAAGAAACAGAATAGGGAGTAATCAGGCCATGATTTTGTTTCGCTGTTTAGAGGGTTACATCGCTACTTCTTCCTTTCAACACGGATGAAGAGCCTGAAGAAGAAGCTTTTCCTTGGTTTTGCCCAGGCTGAGTACAGCCAACAGGAAGACTTCGCAATATACGAAGCCTCAGGCTATGGGATGCCAATGCCTGAGGTTTTCGCCTCCGGCAGTTTATTTCAACCCGACTTTCCCTTTTGGGGGTTAGCCTGGATCTTGAGGTCACCGCTCTGACTCTGATTGGGTGCCAATGTTTCACAGCAGGGACGATTAGTTACCGAACTGGGAAAGGCGTCAAAGCTTAAGCCAGGCTAAGCAGGGATGTAGGGCTCCGGTAATGGAGCATCGCACCAATCAGGGCGTGTCGGGGAAATTCCGAAAGCGGGAAATTGGCACTAGGGGGCAAGGAGGATCAAGACTATTGAGCGTGCTGCATCCTCATTGCTGAGGTCTTTCTTTTGGCCCCCTATAGGACCCGTCATGCATGAAATCCTATATGAGATCTCGGTGCTGGTTCGGTGAAATCCGTATGGGATGCATCAGCCCACCCCTGTTCATTTCCACGAGGGGCCGATTCATTTATCTTCCTTCATCCCCCTGTAATCCCACGTGTGGTTCGTATCGGCAGGAAGGATCGTCATGGCCTCTAGTCTGAAATTGTCTGGGATCGCCTTCTTGGCTTTGCTGGGCTCGACTGTTGTCGCAGGGAAGGACAGTTGCTCTGCTTGCAGCTTGAATCACTTCAATGCGACGGTTGGAGGACGCGTGCAGCCTCTGACTCCTTTCTCCTTGCCGTGCTTCTCGAATTACAATGGCACTCCGGTGACTCGCGACGATGCTGCCTGCGCTGCCATTCAGGCCAATTACAGCGATCCGTGGCTGCGAACCAACTCTCCCAATGGCTACATGAACAACCAGGATGAGATGTGGTCGTCGGATCCCAGTGATCAGTGCCTGCTCGACAGTAGCGATCCCACTGATCCCCTGGCGTTTGTGAATGCCACCTGCCGGCAGGGTAACATGCCCTCGCATTATCTCGAGGTTCACAGCGCCAAGGACGTGATCGAGGCCTTCCGGTACTCAAACTGCTCCGGCCAGCGGCTGGTCATCAAGAACAGCGGTCATGACTATCTCACTCGCAGCAGTGGCCGTGGAACGCTATCCCTGTGGACTCGCAACCTGAGGTCCATCCGCTACGACCCGGCTTTTGTTCCCCGTGGCTGCAACAAGACCGGTCTCAAGTATAATGCCATCACCGTCGGCGCTGGAGTCAACTTCGACGAGGCGTACGCCTTTGCGCAGCAGCACAACGTCACCATCCTGGGCGGCTACTCGTCCACCGTCGGTCTCTCGGGTGGTTGGGTCCTGAACGGTGGCCACTCGGTCCTCAGCCCCGTGTACGGGCTCGGGGTCGACCGCGTCCTGGAGTTCAAGGTCGTCACTCCAGACGGCGTCTACCGCACCGCCAACGAGTACCAGAACGCCGATCTCTTCTGGGCCCTCCGCGGCGGCGGCGGCGGAACCTTTGGTGTCGTGCTCGAAAGCACCCACCGCGTTGAGCCTGCCGTCCGCTTTGTGGCCGCCAACATCAACTTCCCCAGTACCTCCTCCAACATGCTCCCGTTCATGGAAATCGTCGTCAACAACACCCTCAAATGGGCCCAGGAAGGCTGGGGTGGCCACATCACCGGCAACACCCTCGTCAACGTCTCCCCATTGCTTACCGTCGAGCAAGCGAAAGCCTCTCTCGCCGAGGTCATCGCCTACGCCGAGGCCAACGGCGGCTCCGCCTCCATCGAAGAGTTCACATCGTGGTACCCCTTCTACGAGAAGTACGTGACCACCAGCTCCGTCGCCGTCGGCGTCACCCGTTTCCCCGGTAGCCGGCTGATCCCGCGCTCTGTCTTCGAGACGGCCGAGGGCCGCGCCAATCTGATGGACTTCTTCGCGCTGCTCCAGTCAATGGGCCAGACGCCGTATATCCCCGTCGTGGGACCGGTGCTGTACAACTACACCGAGGGGTCGACGAGTGCGGCTCCCGCGTGGCGGCAGGCCGTCTGGGAGCTGGGTTCTGGCACGTCATGGGCGTGGAACAGCACGTTGCCGACGCGGAAGCAGAAGATCGCGGGGATCCAGAACATGACGGCTGTTATTGAGGGGATCACGCCAGGCAGCGGGGCTTACAGCAACGAGGCGAACCCGTTTACTATCAACTGGCGCGAGGCCTGGTGGGGCGAGAACTACGAGAGTTTGCTCAGCGTGAAGAATAAGTATGATCCTCGGGGGTTGTTGAAGTGCTGGAAGTGTATTGGGTGGGAGGAGTCTGATGCTGCCACCTCGCCTTTTGCGGCGTTTGTCTGAGACAGCACTTGTATAGTGTCTAATTATATATACGTAGTATATCAGAGGACTGTAATATAATATATTGCATCTTAGCATTCCTTAACCGTCCTGGTACAGCGCATACTTTGACTGAGATACACATGAACCAACCTCCTCAGCACATGTTCCCAGCTAATACCTGATATAATGTAGTACAGACTCGTCAAAATCAAGGAACGGATTCAGTATGCACTAATGCACGTTTACATTGCCGTGCAGAATCTAGTCTGGGACCAAGTAGACCAGCCATTGAAGCACATGCGTGAGGACTGGAACCTGAGGCAGTCTTTTGGACAGCAGGGGTAAGGGATAGCTTCAAGTAGATGAGAATGATTGGTGGATTTAATTACCAGTGGCCAGGCCGTTCGACGGATGTTCTCCAGTTAATATCACCGTTACATGTCAGTAAGTTGATAATTCCATATCTTCCTCATTAAAAGAAGTTCTTTCTGTACCTTGACCTCGTACAAACCCGACTTGGTGGTATTATCCAGCATGAATTGCCATCACCGAACTAAAATCTAAGGGCAATGCCGCGAGCCGAAACGCTTGGCCGGTGCCTGCAGGTTGCACCAATATCACAGCAGTGTAACAGGCACATGGTCAATATGGCCATGGAGTCTTCTTCCTCTGTCTCGTCATCTCGGTGACTTTGCTCAGATATGAAGGGCTTCACCGATCCTCTCGATGCAATCTCGAAACTTCACCCCGCCTCTGAAGACGTGTATTGCATTCTCCTGTCAAAATGGCTAGCTTTCTTGCCGTAGCAGCATGTCTGTCTGTGATTGCTTCGGCCCATGCACTGTCGGCCAGGTTGTACCCTACCGTTCTACGCAGAGATACCACGGCGACCAGCGTTGAGCCCGTGTCAGCAATCTCTCTCTACTATCAAGCAGTCAACTCAAGCTCTATCGGCGCTCTCGTCCAAGCGGACTTGCAGCTCCCCTCCATCGTCCTTGAAGATGTCAATGATGTGTCAAGCGTGACCTGTTCTGTCGACAGCGTGACGGTGACGTTCAATTCCACGACCACCTTCAACCAAGCATACTCCTGGCCTCGCTCACACCTCCTCCTCGTCACCAACCATCTAGGGAACTGCGACGCGGAAGCCGAACGCGGAATCTACAACGCAGCCTCTCTCCTATTCAACCCCTCAAGCTTAAGCATCACCGCCTCGACAAGCAAAACCAACCTCCAGCAACAAGCCAAAACCGTCACCATCGCTTTCGGCCACCCTGTCTCATCCCAACACAAGCGCGAGCTCACCACCAGCATCGACCTCGCCTGGTCAGGCGACCTCATCCGCACCACCGGCCTAACCATCCACGCCAACCACGCCACCCTCGACGCCGCAATCACCATCGACGGGATCATCGCGTACAACATCGAGACAAAGACAGCAACAACCCTCAACCTCGACATCGCCGTCGCGCTGGATGCGACACTCGGCCTCTCCGTCTCAGCCGCGGGGTCGTTCCTGCGCAACGTCTACACCTACAGATGGAGCCCCGTCGAGGCGGCGGGCTTCTCCATCCCCGGGATCCTGACCGTGGGGCCGATGCTCGATCTCAACGTGGGCGTCGACATGGAGATGAACGGGACGGCAGAGGCCAGGAGTAACATGAGCATGGCGACGAACGGGCTATTCCATCTCGATCTACTCAATATGACGGATAGCTCTGCGCGGAGCGTCGCGCCAACAGCGACGACCAGCTCGAGGATGGATACGGCGGCGGATATGCAGCTTGATCCGTTCGTTGGGGCGGAGGTTGGCGTGACGGTGAATCTGTTTGAGGGCTTGCTTGATTTGTCGTCTGGGTTGGCGGCGCGAGCGACGGTCGTGAATGTCTTTAATATTGATGCGGAGATGGTGGTTGGGGACGATGGGGATGTTACGCTGGTTCCTCCTCCGGCGGATAGCAGTGGAGGCTGTGAGAATGGGTATTGGTTTACAAGTGATTTTTGGTTTAATGTCACGGCGAGCATGATGGCGCTGCTTACGATGGATATGTATCATCTTGATATGCCTATGGTGCAGACTGAGTGTATTGCATTTTAGTGTCGCAGCCGTTGTCATTAAGGCATTCAGAGTGAGGATGTTTTTGTTGCAATTCATTTCCCTCCGCTAAACTTAGCAATCTGTCTTCAATGCCCAGTAGTTGGTTGGCTATGTTATCACCCCATGGACATATATATATCGGACATTGAGCACTAGATGGGGTAGTCTTGCATAATCAGCGAGGTACAACTATTAATCAATCCAGCATGGCCTCAAATGCACTCCCCCCCTTATTCCTCTATATGAAGTCACTGGCACTTAGAAGAAGTCAGGTTTACCACAGCAAGTATCTGTCTGTCGCGATGATAAAGTCACTCTACTTCCTGTTGGCCACGTCTGCCCTGACTTGTGCCTGCCGCCCCAACTACTCTGTTCAGCACGTTTGGCGCCGGCACCAAGTAATCAGGCTACTCCCTCGAATGTTAACTGCGGCGCAGAGTTGGAGTGCCGGTGTGGAATGTCACAGTTCCCAACCCTGCCACATGCGAACATTACACGTCCGTCGCAAGCTAAGCAATGCGCCAACTACAGTAAGTTCTAGTTTCAGTCCGGACAAACGAAAGTATGCATGAGGTCCCCAACTGACATCCTTGCACCAAGAACTGATCGACGCTCGCGGCACGGCTGAACCGTAAGGCGTTTCCAAGGATGTTCTATCCCGTGATCCAGCACATCCTTACCAACCTGACCGGCGGCGTCAGCCTACCTGTGGAGTATCCTGTAGCAGCGAGCCAAAACACCAGCAGCGGCGAGCAGTTCGTGGTGGACTCCATCGCCCACAGACTCCGGCGCTGTCCGCACCAGAAGTACGCTCTATTCGGGTATTCTCAAGGCGCAACCTTGATTCTTAACGTGCTCCGCCAACTGAGTCCTCCGGCCCTTGAATCAATCAAATTAGTCATTCTTGTTGGCAACCCATTCTATATGCCCGGGAAGAGTTCCAATGTGAACGCTACTGCGCAGCACCACGAGAAAGCCTTATTAGGGATGTTTGCGGAGAAGGCTATTGCCAGTAACAGGACGACTCAGCTCTTGAAGGAGATGGACCAGAGTGGGAACGTGCTTGATTATTGTCTTGCAGTGAGTATCAGTCGATATCCGTGTTTATTTACTAGCTAATCTTTTTGTCTCCTCATCTTCATTCAGGACGATTTTGTTTGTGCGCCCAACCCTGCTGCTCCTGCCAGATCCCAGCCGGTCACCTGTCCTACGGCCTGGTTGATATCGTTTAGCAGACTGCCTTTGAGCATGTGGTTGGTCGTCTCGGGAGTATCTCCAATTGAGTGGACCAGTACATAGAAAGAGAGATATATATTATACTCCATCTAATCATTTGTAGAGTAGTGTTGTCGGCGATCACAATGATTATATATATAATAATCAACTGTTCTTGCACACACCTAGTGGTTGCTCTGAGGTGGATCATCTGGGTTAGAAAGAACAAGACTCACGCTTCAGAAGTCCAGCCCTACTAATCAGTCCATGGATACAGGCAAGACTCCTAGTATTGCCTCTTTAGTCTTGTACATTAGATACCCAGTCCAAGGTATGCTCGGAGCCGAAGTGTGGCGGTGGCCAATGGAATGTGGCAGAGCAGTCAGGTGATCTGCGGTCAGGTGATATCACCTGATCGAGCAGAAAAGTCTCGACTGAAGAAGTGAGGAAGTTCCATGGTCCAGTTGATGACATAATCTTGGCATTCGCAAACACATGACAAACCCTAACCTAACGCTATTCCTCTTCCGGATGGCTGAGTGGATCTTCCCAAACAGGAAGGGTAGACGAACGCAGATTCTTCTGATGAAAACGAGTCAGTGCCCAAGGCATCCCCAGGCTCATTATATTATCAGTCCAGCAATATACTATCCTTTTCTACTGTTGCTTGACTCAATATCTAAGCAGTACTCTGTAGATGTGGACATCCGTCATAGACTAAACGGATCAACAGCCACAAAGTCATTTCTTCCTTGGTGAAGTGCCTGAAAGCTTGGTGGCCGCAGCTGAGCGAACCAGGAATGTCTCCCAACGCCACTGACGATTCTCGGCTCAGCCGGTTTCTTTTCTCTCCCATTTTACGTTCATTTCTCAGCCTTTGCCGAGGCCGATCCGTCTCGGTCGGCGTCATTTCTTTTCTGTTGGGTTGGCTTTAACCTGTTGGGCAGAGGTGAATAGCCTTTGTAGACACCCCATGAATACATCATTGATAGTATGATAAATATACTCCAGATACTCCGCAGTATACTAATGTATGCTATTCACCGGTGAACTGAAGAGGAATGGCAACCCCTCATTCTCCAGGTGGACTGGCTGTCTGTCTGCTGTCTCCAGCTGGGGATCCGTCCTCTTCCGGGAGCAGGAGTACGGAGTAGAAATTTGCCGAGATTCTGGAGATGTGGATGGGCGTGTAGGTGTGGATGTCTTAGTTTCACTATATGCGCGGATACCCGGAATCGGTAATGATGGATGCTATTCCCTGACAATCATTACTACATGTCGTCTTCGGCCGATGCTCTGTAGAGTAATTGGCATACATCATCGCAATATAGTCCCTGTCATTGCGTTCGTCTCATTTGGCGAACCATTCCTGTCCATCGTGGCGCTGCCATGGCATTCTTACTAAGACCGTGACCCAGTGGCGTCCGACAGAATCTTCTATGAACAATGGCCGGTCTCGTCCAGCCGTGGATCCCGAAGTTCTGCCTGGACTTCACTCTGACTGGCCATTTACTGTCAGCTCTTCCAATCATAATCACGGATCATGCAGACCCGAAGCTGACGGCTCCTGTGCTATCCCCGTGCCGACTATCGTCATCTCCAGCGGGATGCCTGCCTGTCCTCCCCACACTCTGTCTGTCCCCTCGTTCCTGTGCCTGTGGATCTCTTCTCTGATTTTTCTTCGTCTAGCCAGGGGAGTTGACAAATATAAATAAGCCGTTTCCTCGCTCTGATCGTTTCCTCTTTTCTTCCTCGTCCGGGTTTTATCTCCTCCCTTCCTCCACTACCTTACTCTATGGTCATAACACCATAACACCATAATCTCTCATTATACAAAGGAAAGACATGGGTGTCGAGACAGAAACCCACCATGGGGAATCCATCACCCCCGCCCCCCAGCCTCACTACTCCAGCTCCGACTCGGTGGCTGCTGAGAAGCCACTCGATCTCGGGGTCGACACTCCCATCCCCCGGCTGACCCTTCGGTCCGCCATCATGGGACTGTTCGTCTCCATGGGCGGTCTGCTGTTCGGATACGACACTGGTCAGATCTCCGGATTCCAGGAGATGAGCAACTACCTGCACCGGTATGGTGAATACAGCAACGGCAAGTACCACTTCAGCCATGTTCGCTCCGGTCTCATCGTCGGTCTGCTGTCCATCGGTACCCTGATCGGTGCGCTGGTCGGGGCTCCCATCGCCGACAGACTTGGCCGCAAGTGGTCCATCACCTTGTGGAACATCATCTTGATCGTTGGTATCATTGTTCAAATTACCGCTCCTACAGGTCACTGGTGGCAGATGGTCGTCGGCCGTTGGGTTACCGGTCTGGGTGTCGGTGGCTGCTCGCTGCTTGTTCCCATGTACCAGGGTGAGAGTGCACCGCGTCACGTCCGTGGTGCCATGATCAGCTGCTACCAGCTGTTCGTGACGCTGGGGATCTTCCTCGCCTACCTGATCAACCTGGGAACCGAGAGCATGGACGGCACCGCCCAGTGGCGCATCACCCTAGGTCTGACCGTCGTTTTCGCCTTGGTCTTGGGCGGCGGCATGGCCTTCTTCCCCGAATCCCCTCGCTTCGAGTACCGCCACGGCAAGATCGACAGCGCCCGGCGCACCATGTCCAAGCTGTACGGTGTGCCCGAGAACCACCGCGTGATCGTCCAGGAACTCTACGAGATCCAGAAGCAGCTCGACGCCGAGTCCGGAGTGCAGGTGTGGCACGAGTTTTTGACCGGCCCGCGCATGCTCTACCGTGTCGCCCTCGGTATGCTCCTGCAGTGCCTGCAGCAGCTCACCGGCGCCAACTACTTCTTCTACTACGGCACCACCATCTTCCAAGGCGCCGGTCTCTCCAACAGCTTCGTCACCTCCGTCATCCTCGGCGCCGTCAACTTCGTCACCACCTTTGGCGGTCTGTACGTGGTCGAGAATTATGGCCGCCGCAAGTCCCTCATCTTCGGCGCCGGCTTCATGTTCTGCATGTTCATGATCTTCGCGTCCATCGGCCACTTTATGCTTGATGTCAACGACCCCACCAACACCCCCGAGGTCGGCAAGGGCATGATCGTCCTCGCCTGCTTCTTCATTGCGTACGTTGCCTTCCTCTTTCTTTCATGTCTGCATCATAAACTAAAAAACTGATAGTGCATTCGCAATGACCTGGGGTCCCATGGTCTGGGCCATCGTCGCCGAGCTCTTCCCCTCCAAGTACCGCGCAAAGGGCATGGCCCTAGCCACCGCCTCCAACTGGCTCTGGAACTTTTTGCTGAGCTTCTTCACCCCCTTCATCACCGGCGCCATCGACTTCGCTTATGGGTATGTCTTCGCGGGCTGTCTGCTGGTCGCCGCCTTCGTCGTATACTTCTGCGTTATTGAAGGCAAGGGCCGCACACTCGAGGAGATCGACTGGATGTACGTGAACCATGTGGCGCCGTGGCAGAGCAGCAAGTTTGAGATTCCGCAGACTGAGTGGGAGGAGGGACCTGGTGCTCAAAGCCGGAAGGAGGAGCAGGCTTTCCATGCGGAGGTTGCCTAGTTTTGTTTTTCCATTGCTTGGAGTTTGGTGGCTTGAGGTTGGGTATATACTACACTTGCATATAGATTTGCTTCTGGATATGATACGATACCATGATGAAATATCTTATAGATATCTTTCTAGTCTGCTTCAGCAGAATATAGTATCAACCCTTCCAATCAATAGTATTGGGTATTAAGAACCTGACTGTAGTACCGCGTACTTCGGAAGCCGAGGTAGTTGATTCGCCTTGATTAAATGAGACGCTGACTAGCTAGCTAGAACCGAAAGATGTACATCCACTGCGGAGCAGATTCATAACGAGTGACAGCAGGATGTACTAGCTAATTCAATAGGTAAGACTCCTATCACGAACACAGAGGTATCGATCCGAGGCTCAAGCTGGAGGAACAATATCCGTGCACACTCCTCCAATGCAGATGGCGAGGATGGGACACTATTGCCATTAGAATATAGGTATACATGCTGTACGACTTGGCATCTTACCTCGTTGCCACATTCGCCACAGTTCAAGGGGTCAATGTCGGTATCAGTGCAGACCCCATCGCAGTCGGTTAGACCAAGTGGACATCCACATACACCATCTGTGCAGATCTGACCAAGAGGGCACTATTCGCACCGTTAGCATCCTGATAAATCAATCAAATGCAGAAACCAGGACGGACCGCATTGCCACAGGCACCACAGTTAAGAGGGTCAATATCAGTGTCAGTGCAGAGGCCATCGCAGTCGGTCAGATCACCTGGACATCCACATGCACTATCTGTGCAGATCTGACCAAGAGGGCACTATTGCATTGTCAGCATGCAGATATATGAATCAATGCAGAACAAGGACGGACCGCATTGCCACAGCCACCGCAGTTCAACGGATCGATGGTTGTATCAACGCAGAGACCCAAGCACTGGGTCTGGCCTGGGGGGCACTCGCCCACTTCGCAGACCCCGTTAACGCAAGGCGTTCCCTCAGGGCACTGCCAACAATGAGCTTCGGGTGATGAGCAAAACAGCGGCGGTTATACTCACCGCAACACCACATGCGCCGCAGTTGGTAGGGTCGGTTGTGGTGTCAACGCAGATGCCGTCACAATCAGTCTCGCCTGGGGGGCACTCTTCTACTTGGCAGACTCCGTCCACGCAGGGTTCGCCATCGGCGCACTGGATAAGGTGAGTTTCGGAATGATGGAGCAGTTATAGGTATACTCACCACATTACCACAGGCACCACAGTTGGTTGGATCAGTTGTCAGATCAACGCAGATGCCATCGCAATCAGTCTCCCCTGGGGGACACTCTTCTACTTGGCAGACTCCGTCCACGCAGGGTTGGCCGTCAGGACACTGGATACGGTGAGCTCCCTGAATAAATAGCAGAACGAGGTACCGCATATACTCACCACATTGCCGCAAGCACCACAGTTGGTTGGATCAGTCGTCAGATCAACGCAGATGCCATCGCAATCAGTCTCGCCTGGAGGGCATTCTTCTACTTGACAGACTCCGCCCACACAAGGCTCTCCCTCAGGACACTGGATACAGTGAGCTCCCCGAATAAATAACAGAGGTACTGCATATACTCACCACATTGCCGCAAGCACCGCAGTTGGTTGGATCAGTCGTCAGATCAACGCAGGTGCCGTCGCAATCAGTCTCGCCTGGAGGGCACTCTTCGACTTGACAGACTCCATCCACGCAAGGCTCTCCCTCAGGACACTGCAATTAAAGACAGGTGAGCTTTGAAAACAGACAAGACAGGGATAGCCACTCACCACAGTACCACAGGCACCACAGTTGTTAGGGTCAGTGTTCAGGTCAGCACAGACACCATCGCACTCGACCTGGCCTGGAGGGCACGCTGGCTCTTGACAGACACCAGCCGTGCAAACTTCGCCCTCTGGACACTGGTGGACGGTTATTTATGTATACGTATCTGTGGCAGGACCGACGGACATACCACATTGCCGCACTCCCCGCAGTTTGCAGGATCATTGAGGACATCCTGACACACAGCGTCGCAGCATTCCCAGTCCACTGGGCACTGTCATATCCCCTAAGCATAAGGTATTTTCCAGATAAAGTAATTGCCTGGATTTGCTGCTTACCACAATATCGCATGCGCCGCAAGCGTCATGGCATGTCTGGACATGGGTGCAGACGCCGTTGCAGCAGGCATCACCCTCGGGACACTGCAGGAAAAGAAAAAAAAAACGCTGATTAGATGCCATCCATCATGAGCAGCAGGGTCAGTGGACATACCACGGTACCGCAAGCTCCGCAGTTGTTGGGATCGGTGGCCGGATCAACACATGCCCCGTTGCATTCCAAGTCCGGGGGCAGACAGATCAAGAGACAAGCGCCACCGACACAGTCGGGGGTCTCTGGAGGGCACTATCGATACGGACGGGAATGAGACAAGGCGTGTTCTGCAACTGCAACTGAACCCGGGAGGATGTATACGTACCGCTATGTCACATCCGCCGCAGTTTTCGGGATCAGAAGACGCATCAACACAGTCGAAGCCACAGCCAATCTCTGGAGGCATACAGAGGGGGTCGCAAACACCGTCGCTGCAGATGCCGTTCTCGGGAGGGCACTACGTGCACAGTGAGCCGAGGGACTGTGACCTGGCTGCTTCAAGGAGTCTGGCATATACTTACGGCATTGTTGCAGGCCCCGCAGTTCTCGGGATTGTTCTGCAGATCCACACATAGATTATCGCAGCAAGTCAGGAGCGGGGGACACTACGGGAGTCGTTGTCAGCCGCGGCAGCTCTCCTTGCGCGGATTATAATAAGCCCTGCGATTTAGACTTACGAATCCAGTGCAGAGACAACCCTCTGGGTCCACGGCACACTATCCGCTAGAAGTTAACAGGTGTAACAGGTAGAGCCAAAGAAGATCCTACCGCTTGGTTGGCACGGCCTTGAACACCCCTTGCAAACTGGGGGAATCTGACCCTGGCATATGCCACAGACACAATGCCTGCTCCAAATCAGAGATTGATGGCGGAGGAGGAGTGGACGGACCACGAACCGTTGAAAAGGAGGAAGAACAACGAGCGTTTCGTCATTTTGAGCAAGCTGGTAGTGGTGCTTTCGAATATGAGTGTCGTCAGCCTGGTGGTGCGAGATCAAGCTGAAATGGTGTGATCCATCGAGGGTTTATATAGAGGCCATGCATAGATGCATCCGTTATGCTGCCACTATGACAGCACACTTTGAGGCACAAAGGTTTGGCATGAGGCGGACCAATGCATCATCATGCGCCCTGGCATGTGTAACGACCGCCTGTTGACCCCACAACACAGGGTGCAAGCCTTGTATTATGCATGTGCTTGATTCCAGCCGAATTGCAGAGGGTTTCAGCTAGGGCTCGCCTAGTCAGTTCATAGCGTAATGCAGGCTTGCTCCTTGTCAGTGCCGAATAAAGTATAGATCTAGTACTAGAGCTAATGTTCTTTCCCTGCAGAGCTCCAACTTGCCACTTATCATTATAGCCAGGTCTCATCACCATCTACAGCGGTGCAAAGATGGCTGCTATGATTTGCCTACAGGCCGCGGAGTGCAGACGTTCTGAAACACCATTATATTCCGGATGATCGATGTCTGTTGTTCCGAAGTCTTAGGAGTGAAAACTGGGCTGTTGAACAAAGCAGAACAACGTTACATATGTCTATAGCACAGGTGTTCAAGCCAGCAGCACGGGTGGGACTTCGGCAGGCCTGTGATGCTGTGCAACCACACCTTAAGAATGACACTGTGACCTACATAGCGTATGAAAATAATCTGCATCTGCATTGGATGCTATGCAGCTATGCTCATATGGAGGTGATAATTCTTTGTACATGGGCGAATAAGCAGGCAAGTATACCTGAGTATACTCACCTTGTGATGAAACACTGGCAACTTGTTTAGCACTAACGTCCTGGACATCACAAATGCTTGAAGTAATACCTTGTATAACTCAGAAACAGACAGTGGCACACCTATTCAAGCCCTGAACACCTCTTATGTCTTACAGCTCCGATGTCACCGTCACCAAGTCCTCCGCACTGATCTAACCACGCCTTGGCACTTTCCTCTCAGTGGCAGGATTCTATCCAATCCTCCATCAAGTGAATAGCGATAGCGAACTTGACTCAGCGCAGAGCCGAGAATACTCTACTACCGGTTGTCATGTCAGACATCGAGTGGGCGGACAGGATTGTCGAGTAACATACCATGGCGCCAAGTCGACGTGCTATTCAAACTGAGTCGGATGGGTTTGCGTTCATTCAGAAGCAGCTACCAGGATTTATACTTCAATCTACTTACTACCAGGAGAAGGCCTCCGACCAGTGTATCCGAGAACTACTTGGCCCAAAAGACGAACAGCTTGCTGCATTCGAGGAACACATTTCTTCAAGGGAAAGCGCTGATTTGCCACAGATACAACCGAGTCTGTCTTCATTGCAGTGGGTAATCGTGTACAATCCTATCAAGCTGCTGGCTGAGACGGATCATCACCTGCAAAGCAGTACCAAGGTCACGACGTTGACTGATCACCGTGGAAGACCGGCGGAAGCTCGCGTAAATACCACCAGCGGGCTTCCTGCCAGCGTAACATTTGATCCACGCAATGATAAAGGCCACTCCGGTAAAATCTGAGAAGTGCTAGAGAAGATCAAGTCCGAGGATTGATATTCCTGGCCTGCAACAGATCCATGCTCACCAAGGGTACATTTAGCTCAGTACCGCTCGCCATTTGCCACGATATCTTGATTGATGGATCAAGTACTGGCATGCAGTTGTGTTATGGACGACTAGAGCCGATTAGTCACTTGAAGTCTTCCTTGACATGGTCTTGTCCGGCATTGATGCCACAGGCTAGCCTCTATAGGTGACAGCCCGTTAACAAACCTCCGCTAGTACAAGTCAGTTGAAATATATTGTAAGGTGCATGCACGGATTAGTAGTGCTCTAATGCCAGCAGGAATAATTTGCCAGAGTCATTCGGAACAATATATATCAGTGGAATGGGACTTCTATTGTTGGTATATATATATACTCTGATACGTATCCTCACTTCCAAAAAAGGATTTGAATTTGCTTCAACTTGCAGCATTGATTTCAGCAGCTGAAGCAGTGCCTCCAGTGAGACTGTTTTCGCTCGAGCGACATTTCACCACCATCTTGCAGACAGACGGATTCACGAATGAAGTGACTATGGCCTGAAGAAGTAATGATCGGGTATAGTCCGTGCCCAAAATGCATCTCTCCCTTCTTCGTCACCAACCAGAGCTGTTATGATTTCCACACACCTCAATTGAAGAACCTTCTCCAATCTCCCCGCTCTTTCTATCCAATAGAAGGACTATGACACGTCACTAAGCTTGGGTGTAATTTGCCTCGACCGCCACAGGATGCGCTGCCTCGTATTCCCCTCGCTGGTTGCTTTAGGGTCGCGGCATCCATCCAACCACATCTCGGGGTTCGAGACGAGTCATGCCGCTTGGTGTGATATCTACACGATGCCCAGACCTTGTCACTCGTATCGGATGAGGCTGACCTATTCCTGGCTGCTCTCCACATCATTAAGGTTTGAGGGCGTTCAGGCACCGTGCTATATAAGGCGGCTCAGTTACTCACCTTCCTCTCGACCTCTGTCAGTCAAGTCGTTCCCTTTCATTGCTCCCTCATCACTCGTTGATCGGTTATTATTTCAATCTTTACAATGTACAAGCTTCTGACTGCTTCTCTACTGGCCACTGTCGCCCTTGCGGCAGGCCACAATGGCCTCATTGCCCGCCAGGTCTCCAGCTGTGAATCGCACACTGGCTTCAAGACCTGCAAGTCTTCCTGCATTCCCGTCACCTACAGCTGCTGCGCTGTTGGTGAGGGCGGCTGCGAGCCAGGCACCTACTGCACCGACGATGGCTGCTGCCCCATCGGGGAGATCTGTACTGGACCTGGTGGTACCGTGACTGGAACCTTGACGGATACCATCACCAACACCTTGACCGACACTATTACCAATACTCAGACAAACACCCACACCGAGACCGCGACGCCTACTGTCACTGAGGAGACCACGTCTACCTCCACCTCTACTTCTACTTCCACCTCGATCTCGACCACTACATCTCGGCCCGTCATCCCCACCCAGCCCACGGTCACCTCTCCAAGCGGGACCCCATCGCCCTCTGGCTCCTCCACCGCCAGCCCTTCCCCCCCTCTGTTCACCGGCGCCGCGTCGCGCCTGAACGCCGGCATGGGTGCTGTGGCTGGTCTGATTGCGGGAGCTGCCCTCCTATAATCCTCACGCGTGCGCCTTGATGAAGGTGTTCCAGTTGGAGGTGCGCTGAATTGAAACGGATGTTCTTTGCCGTGTCCTTCTACTGTAACTAGTTATAGTGTAATCCTAATTGAATGCGTGTGCTATCCATTGTCTTCTGCTATGTCAAGTGAATACTATAGTATATTGAGTGTTAGTGCATGAAGAGGAGCGGGGACTAGACGTTTCGTACCCTTAATTTCCATCTTAGTGGCTTATGGTATACTCACTGCGACTGCTCATCCCATCTGACAGGTTCTGTTTACGTTGTCAGTGTGCAGAGATCTCTTCGCATGAAATGCTGAGGGTCAACCACTATGCTAGCAAGACGCACTTGTGTGACCTGAGGGAAAGAAAGGAGAAGAGCGAGCGATTATTGTCGGTGGTCAACCATTGCTACTGTTGATTTACAAGACAACGCAAGGACTTGAAGCGGGGAAAAGCCTGTATTGAGCAAGGCATGTCTTTCAACTATGGCAAACGCTTCTCATACCATAAGGACAAAAGCCTCACTTCCTTCGATCCATTTACCAGGCAACGTGTATGACAGCGAGACCCCATCTCGCCGACTTCTGATTGACTATCCCAATCCATACACCATATCGGCGCTGTGCCGTGACCAGAGGATGGAGATACCTACTTCTCCCCAGCACCAGCCCCATACTCCGGATCCTGCCCACCACTTCGACACTCAGTACCGGCACAGACAACCAGCGAATACTCATACTCACCTCGCACGCCGATCCCAGAGCCTACTCAAGTCCCCGACAGGCAAACGGACAGGTAACCCCACCGAATCAAACAACTGCGCCACGAGGAGATAGAAACCCAGCATGCTCGCCACGAACAGGGACGCACCGGCCGCCTATACATACCGTCAGTATTAGCCATGCACATCACTGGCTGTGAAAGAAGGGACATACCACTATCAACCGATTACCGACGAGGGCATCCGCAACCGCCAGACGCCAGTATGCCCCAGTCAAAAAGATGAAGACGAGCGTGAGCGTCGTGAAGATAGCGACGTAGACTGCGTTTGTGCGGGTCGCGCAGATCAAAAAGATGAGCATTAAAACGCCCATCCAGATGAAGAGGAAGGCTGGTTCTGTTAGGACATTCCGTTGGACGAGGACAGGGTGGGTGCGAACCGTATGTATTCAGAAAGTCAGGACTGCTGAGGCCTGCTACTGTGTCGGTAGCAGAGGTTGAGTAGGGGGCTAGGTACGAGCACCTGTTAGCAGCAGGAGTATGGAGAGGGGGAGGGCACGAACCTGCGGCATTGAAGGCGGGAGTCATAGTGCAGCCGAAGGCGAACCAGAATGCGCCTGTTACTATCAGTTCATCTGCTATATCGCTTCGAGATACTCAACGAACCGATTGTGCCGAATACAACGCAGGGAAAGGTGTTGCCGAGGATAAACTCCAGGATACTGGTCAAGACGAGCAGTCCGCCCCCGAGGAAGATAATTGGGCCACTAGACAAACATATCAGCATTGTATCCTGCAGCCTTCGGATATTGATTGACACCTACGTGAACGCAATACCCGCTCCAGTAGCACCTCTCCATCCCATGAGGCAGCAGGACAACGGGGTAGTGGTGATAACAAATCCGCCGAGGGCCCTGGCTAGTCAGTAAAGGAATAATCTCGTCCAGCGCGGGTAGTTACAAAGGGGTAGGATTGCCCATCTGTTTCGAGAGCATGCCCTGCCGCTGGGTCAGGGGGCTCAGGTACAGCTTTTCGAACTGCTCAGCGGACAGGGTGACGGATGTAGGAATTGTCGTCAGAGAAGGCATGGCTGTCTCGTCCTGAGGGGAGGGCTTCGTGTAGTTCTTAAGGCCCTGTTCAGTGTCCATTGTGTCTGGCAGTCTATGAGTGAGAGTATGCCGCAAGATGAGATAGAAGCTGGGGAAACTGGGGTTAGATCAGAACCTGGGGTAAGGACCTGGGTCTTATATCAGCAGTCTCCCTATGATAGTCCGTATCCCGGTCGAGCGGAGCCCTATGATCAGCACGAATATAATTTCCTTTTTGGGTAGGATCCGGGGAAGCGGAGTAGGAAGGAAGTCTAGCCCAGCCCTTCATAGATGTGGCTGTAGCCTGGGGTCATGATTCGGTGATCAATATGCACCGGATCTCTAGTCTGAGAGGAACCCACTTTTGTGCTACTGGGCAGGGGCGAGAATCACTGGATAGGGGGACCCGGTGTCTGAAACTGTGGATTGTCTGAATTTGAGATCAGGGAGTACTGTTGATACCGACAGGGGTCTACTCAATTCCCGGAAACATAACGCTTGGCATTCGAGGATTTTCATGGACCCATTCATCAATCAACAACGGTTTGTTTCTTGAAGAGTGAGGCATGAATTGCAGTTCGACCGATTTACACTACTGAATCGCACGGACAAGACTAAAAAGGACAAAATGCCGCATAATCATAAATAAACCATTACCAAATCAATATCTGCTACTCTAAGCACCCTTGATACGAGCGTGCACAGTCTTGACCTGCGTGTAGTTGTCCAGAGCGTATGATCCCAGCTCCCGACCCAAACCGGATTCCTTGAAGCCGCCGAATGGCATCTGAGCAAGGAAGGTGTTGTAGTTGTTGATCCACACAGTTCTGTAATAGTTAGCAACATGCTAGACATGCGGAATACCGGAACATACCCGGCTCTGATAGCATTGGATACTCTGATGGCAGTGTTCAGATTGTCAGTGTGAACAGCCGCCGCCAACCCTACATCCAGTCAGCATCGAATGATATAGAGGAAAAGGTAGGCTCACCGTAGTTCGTATTATTAGCAATCTCAATAGCCTCCTCCTCGGAGCTAAACTTCTGCACTGTACAGACGGGCCCGAAGATCTCCTCTTTGACAATCTTCATGTCCTCACGCACGTCCGCGAAAATGGTAGGCTGGATGTAGTACCCCTTTTCGCCGTGGCGCGCTCCACCAGTAATAACCTTGGCACCTGCCTTCTTACCCTCATCGATGTATCCCATGATCCGGTCAAACTGCACCTGAGAGACCTGGGGACCCTGGAACGTCTCTGGGTGGAACGGGTCCCCGACCTTGTTTTCCTCCGCGCGCTGCTTGAAGAGCGCCAGGAATTTGTCATAGATGGATTCATGCACAAGGACGCGCGAGCCGGCGGCACAGCACTGCCCGTGGTTGAAGTAGATACCCAGATTCACGTATTTGATCGCGTCTTCCAGATCGGCGTCGGGAAAGACGATGTTGGGAGACTTGCCGCCCAGCTCGAGGGTGACTTTCTTTAGGTTGCTCTTCGCTGCGACCTGGAGAATCTGGCGGCCAACCAGCGTCGAGCCGGTAAATGCCACCTTGTCGATATCCATGTGGGCAGCGATAGCAGCGCCGGCCACGCGCCCGAATCCCGAGATGATGTTGATTACACCCGGGGGAAAGCCGGCCTCCTTGACCAGTTTGGCGACATACAGTGCTGAAAGCGGTGTTTGCTCGGCAGTTTTGAGCACAACTGTGTTGCCGGTGGAAACGGCAGGCCCGATCTTCCACGCCCACATGAGCAGCGGAAAGTTCCATGGGATGATCTGGCCACAGACGCCAACCGGCTCGTGACGGGTGTACGTCAGACTGCCGGGGTTGGTATCGATCGTTTGGCCGACGATTTTGTCCGCCCAGCCACCGTAGTATCGGATACAGTTTGCAGAGAGAGCAACGTCCCCCTTGGCGATCTGGAAGGCCTTGCCGTTGTCGAGGGCCTCGATGGCGGCGATGGTATCCATGTCGCGTTCGAGGAAGTCAGCAAGGCGAGTTAGGAGACGGCCGCGCTCTGAGGGGATGACGTCCTTCCATGCGCCCTTGAAGGCTTTGCGGGCGGCTTCGACGGCAATGTCAACGTCTTTTTCGGTGGCCTCGTGAACGGCCACGATGGGTTTTTCGTCATGCGGGTTGATAGTTTCAAAGGTTTTGCCTTCTACACCGGGGACGAATTCATTGTTGATGAACCTTTGCAGTGTTAACGAGGAGAATGGACTATTCTTGAGTACTTGGGTACATACAGCCCTAGTGGTTGTTCATAGGTAACAGTAGGAGTGACGATGGTCTGGAAGAGAGCCATGTTGAGGACAGAGTGAAGATGCGTGAAACTGACAAGGAGTGGATTGAAACGTGAACGTGCAGAAGCTATGAGGGTAGAAAGAGGGCAGGCCGATGCTTCCACTGCTTACTCTTATAGCACAGTCCTATTGCATATGCACCGGGCCAAGGGCAAGTAGCAAGGATGTTGACAAATAGAAAGGCAAACAGTAGGATCCATGACTCCGCGTCTCATCCCTCCGCACTCCACATTCTTCATTATTCCTAACGCTAGGTTTGTGTCGGCGACTGGGCTTCTCTCCTGTGGTTCCGTCTCTGTCCTGGCCGAGATCCACAAGTGAACTGCCACGAGACTGCCTGAACGGGTAATTTGTCCATGAACTAGTTGTGGGGTGTTCGGACAGCTGGAACTTCAAGTTACACAAATATGCCAGAGTACTGGTTATTGGATACTGTCAAGTGACCTCATATGCGACAGTTCAATTCGTCATCACTATCTCTGCATGTAGCCAACTACCCCCGCATCTCAAGGAAGTGTATCCCGGAGACTCGAATTCATCCACCCAAGTCCGAGAATCCGCGGAGGAAGAGCAGACTAGATAACTGGTGGATTCTAATAAACCTAATCTATTCTTGCTCAGATCGGAGCCGCTCTCGGATCCGCATCCGCTTGGCAGCGGATCAGCACGGCGGGGTATTAGGGGTATCACCTCCAGGCCAGAGTGCCAACTCGACGATGCTGTAGGGGTAGAATTTAGGCGATTATCTGCTGTACTGGTTATTCTATCTGGCGCTTTTCCTTTCGGGTAGAAATATCCCGGTTACACGTAAGATCTACCTGACACCAAGACTATATCCATTCAATGGCAGGTTTTATACTGTACAACATAAGAATGTAATATTCTGTTTATCTGCATTATTAGCAACCTATTAGGGAGGAATAATTCGGTATGAGATTATGGAAGCAATATCGATTTGTCTATACCAGCTCAGGAAAGTCCAAATTACAGCTAATGAGTGCGACTATATCTACAATGGAACAGGCAAGGTATATTCAGAATCAATAGATGGTGGATTGACTAATGACAACTCGACAACATATGGATCAGCCTCATTTGTGCATGCAGACATTCTTCAATTGCTCAATGCAGAATACATTATAGCAACCTAAGATAGGAAACTCATTCAGGCAGCTCAAGGACGTAGCGACCAGCAATCTTGCCTTGTTCTATCGAACTGTTAGCTAGATTCACCCCATGATTGAAGGAACATACCCATGAGCTCATAGATCTTAGGCAGATCCTCAAGCGGAGCAGTCTTGAAAGGAGCTTTGATCAGTCCCCGAGCAAAGAAATCAATAGCCTCGACACCGTCCTGTCTATTCCCAACATAGCTACCCTTGATGTTGATCATGCGCACGACAGTGTTGAGGACCGGTGCCCTCAGGAAGGCGTTCGCAGGCAATCCAATGGCGACGACAGTACCGCGCGAGCGAACATACTCGGTAGCCTGCTGGAAGGGCTTCTCCGAGACGGCCAGGAGAATCACAGCATGCGCACCCAGCCCATCCGGCGTGGCTGCCTTGACATCAGCGACCAGATCACTGGACTTGGTGAAATCAACGTATGCCTGTCGCGGTTAGTATCTCACGTCTAGTCTATTCGACGGACGGCAACAAACCTCAGCACCAAGCTGCTCGCACATCACCCGCTTCTCATCCCCACCATCAATAGCAATAACCCGCAACCCCATGGCGCGCGCATACTGCTGCGCCAGGGATCCCAACCCACCACCCGCACCAACAATCGCAACCGTTTGCCCAGGCCGAGCCCCGGACTCCTTCAACCCCTTGTACACGGTAATACCGGCACACAGCACCGGCGCCACCGCATCCAGGGGCACGTTTTTGGGAATCTTAGACGCATGCGTCGCCTTGCCAATAGTGTACTGCTGGAAGGTGCCGTCGACGGTATACCCGGACAGCGAGGCATTCTGGCAAAGCGGTTCATCCGCCTGCTTGCAAAATTCACATGCGAGACAAGACCCGTTCAACCACTTGATGCCGGCGTGGTCGCCGATCTCGAATTCAGTGACGAGGTCGCCCTTGGCTACCACGATGCCGGCGCCCTCGTGTCCGCCGACGAGTGGCATCTTGACTGGGAGGGGCCAGTCGCCTTTCATGGCGTGGAGGTCGGTGTGGCAGACGCCTGAGTAGCGGATCTTGACGAGGATCTCATCGGGCCCGGGCTTCGGGACGGGGATTTGCTTGAGGACTAGAGGGCCGCCGACTTTTTCGGCTACTTGGGCCCATTGCATGGAGGGGACGGAGTCTTTAGTCATGGTTGTTATAGGTGGGGCGAAGTTGTGAAAGAAATTGAGATTGTGTGTAAGTAAAGCGATGTGATTGATGATTGATGAGATGGATCTAGATTAACTCGAGTACCTTGATGGTACTTATAGTTCTTTGGAAACTGTACGATGGAGACAAAGTGTTCCCTTGTTCCAGGGGCATACGGAATGCGACTGGGAGGGGAACGAGGCCACGCAGCCCAGTGGAGTTTCTCGAGACAGCAGTGCGAGATTGGTGATTGGCCGGTATCTCCCATAGCTGATATCTGGGCCAATGCAGTTTGCTTATTGTGGAGTGGAGCGTCTCTCGGATGAGCTCCATTTCCCCAGATCCCCGCGACTACGAGTCCAGTGTCATCCCCATGGGGATCCCACCACACCTCTAACTCATTCAATTCTCTGGCGCAAAGTACACTTCAGGCAATAATTCCGAATCTACTTCCTTGTGTCCGAGAACCTACAAGCTAGAGAATAAAACAGTAGAAGGTAGAGCTGATCCAAAGGCTGATCCTAAGTGCCAGTATGCGGGGGGAAATCCGACAATAGTACGATGCACACGCCAACCAATCATGGTCCAGGCTATTCCGGGCCTTGTGGCGATCAGGGTACGGAGTAACTCTACGATTCAGCTCATTGTCCAGAATCACGAACAGAGAAATTGAGTTCCATATGTCCGAGTCATAGCAAAAGTTCTTTTCTGGCTCGCTTAACGCTCCACAAGGCTGTCACATCGAGCCTAAGCTAATAGTAGGGCAGATAAGTGTTAACTGCCGAGTGACAGCGGCTGCGGGGAAGACATACATTGTGCGGTTCCGCACAAACTCTATTGAGGCCCAGATAGGCCACAGCCAATGTCAGAGAAATGATGCTTCAGAGACATTGGCGAACGAATGTAGTCAGCTGATTGGTGCGGTCATCCAGATGGTCCAGATGGTCCAGACATCCCATCATGGTTGGCGTATCCCAATACAAGTGCGGAGCCGCTCCGGGAGGGGCATGCCTTGCCAATCTGGACATTGGTCTTTCTTTTGCGGAGCCGCTCATGAGCTAGGCTCTCTGGTTAAGGAGAAATCGATTGGCTGCCTGAGATTAGGAACTCGATCGACATACCGTTCGCAGAGAGCGACTCTATCAATATCTGTCGAACCGAACAGAACTGTCTAACTTGCTTTGGCTCAAATTGAGTTTACTAGATCGCACTATGTCTCACTCATCTGAACTGGCGATCATGCATCAGTAGCTAGGATCCGTACAGAGTATACACAGATCTGTCAGCGGAGCCGCTCAGCAGCTATGGTTGCTGATCGCAGCCACATAGTCCCTTTTGAAACGTTGTTTTCGCTGGGGTTCTCTATCCTACTTCCATTAATACGCATATTTAACATTCTAGGCTCCATCCATATGAGATTGCATGCCTTCATTATTGCACTGCAAAAAGACAGCGAAGAAGCAATGGCCACATCATATCATTCTCAAAGCACGCAAAGCACGAGAGCGCCGACAGCAGACACAACCGGAGCCTCGAGACCACGAAGAAAGAAAGCTAGAAGAGCTTGCTCCGCTTGCCAGAAATCACATCAGACATGTGGTAAGTGAAGTTGCATGGAATCCAGTCTTCTGAGCAATGACTGAGCGTGATCCACCAGGCAATGAGCGGCCATGTCAATCCTGCATAAGGCGCGGCTGTGCAGACTCCTGTCGCGATGGCGAGCGGAAGAAGCCGAAGTATCTCGAGGAGGGCTCATATAGAGTCTTCACTATACAGTACAACGTACCCTGTCACAAAAACTGTGCATCCACCACATTGAATCACACATTCTCATCCCGGGATACTGGGGTTCAGTTAAGGACACCCAGTCCAAGTTCAGGGCAAACGGCATGTTCCTACCAAGATTTCAATCCGTGGACAATCTCTGCAGAGGACCCCTTTATCGGTCTGGAGTTGGATGATGCGCAACTCGAACTAGAGGATGCCTTTTTCTTGGAGTCTCCTCCGAGCGATAGTACAGATGCAGAATCACAAAGGGATACTCTTCTTGCGTTTGCAATAGGAAGCGGGTGGTCAAGTACATTTCTCCAGTCAGAATACGAGGATTCTGTATAGCATAGCCATGTATTTACCAGCGTTAATACCCTATCATGATTTTACATATGTTTCTTCCAGTCCGGCTTTAAATTACACCTAGGCAGTAGGCTCATCTCCAAAATGACATTTTCTCTCGAGAGAAATGTATTCGCATAGCAACCTAGTTGCCGACCGTCATGACGGCTGTATGATACCGATGGTGGCGACCTGGCAGTGTCTATAAGACTTTAATACCCGTCCTGAGGCTCGAACTGTAACCTTGCAGTCGGCAATCTTCGTGCAGCTGCTACTCTGCAACACCGCTACTTTCCTTGCATAATAGACCGCCTGACCGGGTGGCATACAATCAGTATGTTTACAGAAAGGCAATAGAGCCATTGGCATGGAACAAGTAATCACACATCATTACACGCAGTCACCACTGGGAGACGTTCGATTCTTCATCATCCCGAACGTGGACTCTTTGAAAGAAGCCATTGAAGGTTCGGACCAGAGCCCGACACATCTGTCTAAGTGGAGCAAGCAGAACCCCCACCCCAATACTAACCATAGACATAAGCCTGGCAACATGCCGATCCGGAACGAGCTTCAGCACTGCGGCCCAGGGAATACAGAAGGCGGCGCATCCAATACAAGTAGCCCATTGGGGTCCATCCAGCCTGGTGACGCCGAACGCTGCCCCACCGACAAAGATGATGAGCACTTGTCCACCTACCATCAAGGCGTTGATCACCATGAACCATCTATTTCTCAGGATGCCCTCGAAGATATTGAACTTGTTGTCCAGTCGACGACAGTTCAGCTCGTTGAAAATCTGCATCCAGACGAAGGTGTTGAAGATGACGGTGTCGAGTTCGGCCTGCTGCTGGTGGGCCTCGGTATTATATTTGAGGATCCTGTTGCCTGCAAAGTATAGCGTGAAACAGAGGGCGAGCTTGTAGATCGACTGCCCCAGCATCAGCTTCCACATGGTCACGGTGAACAAAGGCGCGCTTCGTGGCCTTGGGGGTCGCTGTAGGATATCCGCGGTGGGAGGGTCGGTTGCTCTGGTACCAGGCAGGATATCAGTACTCCATTACCATGGTGGCTTACAATCAGGGGGCCTTACAGCGCAAGAGCGGCAAAGGTGTCCATTATGAGATTCAGCCATAGCAACTGGACCGCCTTGAAGACGCTTTCGTTGGAGCTGCTGTAGATGGCCGTCACGACAGTCAGACAGACGGCGGTGATGTTGACCGTGATTTGAAACTGTCTTTGTCAACCACATGGATTGCTAGGGAAGAAGACGCAGCAAACCTGCAGAAACTTGGCCACAGCATCATTGACACACCGGCCCCAGGCAATGGCCGTGACGATCGATCGAAAGTTGTCGTCGAGGAGAATGATAGAACTTGCTTCACGCGCGACTTCAGTCCCACTCAGGCCCATCGAGAACCCTACATCGGCGGCCTTGAGAGCCGGCCCGTCGTTGGTCCCATCGCCTGTCACGGCCACCGTCTCACCAAGCCGTTTGAGATGCTCAACGAGGAGCTGTTTATCACTGGGCGAAGAGCGAGCCAGGACTTGGAGTCGTGGAATGGTCGTATTCAGCTGCGCCTCGGTCAACATCCTAAGGTCGGGTCCTTCCATTGCGATGCCGTCGTCCGTCTTGATCCCGCAGGAGATGGCGATGGATAACGCCGTGTGGATGTTGTCACCTGTGGCGTAAGTTACTACTTCCGTGTTTTTGACTATGGACCTGTGACGCCTCACCGGTAACCATCTTGACCTGGACGCCCGCCGCATGGCACTTCCGAATGGCTTCGGGGACTTCGGGCCTTAGCGGATCGTGGATGCCAAACGCCCCGATCCAAGTCATATTATTGAACAAGGCATCGAAATCAAGTGAACCCTTCTCGTTGTCTCCAACCTGCCCAGAATTCCAACCTGGAAGCTCGCGGTATGCAATTGCGATCGTCCGCAACGAGGCTCGGGCAAAGATATCGATTTGGTCATGGATTGTCCGCCTGTCCTCGCGCGACATCTGTGCTCTGGCTAATGATGTTTCGTCCGATACTCCTGGAAGTGTCGATTCAGTGCAGGCCCCGAGGACGACCTCTGCGGCTCCCTTGACTAGCAATCGGTGCCCTGTTCCCAAACGATACACGACCGCCATCGCCTTCCGAGCCGAGTCAAATGGATAGACCTGTTCGATCTCGGTTCTTTCTCGCTCCGTAGACACATCCCGCACATCAAGAGCTGTCTGTGCAAATCGAAGGAGCGCAATTTCGGTGTTATTCCCGACCAAGACCTTTTCATTCTCGCGCTGCTCCTCGAACGCCGTCGAGTTGACTACGAGGCTCTTGACTAGCAGAGCCTTCAAGTCTCCCGGGTACCTCTGCGTTACACCCGAGATGGCGTCGTGCTGCGGCTGAGATGCGTTCTCTAGGGGTAGCCGGCCGAACGATTCACTAGTACTCAAGAAGCCCGCCACCACCGTCATCCTGTTCTGCGTCAGAGTCCCTGTTTTATCCGAGCATATCACGGTGGCGTTTCCCATCGTTTCGCAAGCACGTAGCTGGCGCACGAGATTGTTTTCCTTGAGCATACGGGCTGTCGCAAAAGCTAGGGCCAGGGTCACAGCCAGGGGTAGTCCTTCTGTGAGGCATCAAGAAGCGTATCGAGAAGTGATGGGAAGCGGGTGCATACCGGGAATTGCAACCACGATCACTGTTACTGTTACTATGAGAATATCCATAAACTCTTGTCCTTTTACAGTGGACGGCGCATCGTTATCTGGAAGTTGAGCCAAGAAGCGGAAGAGGAGCACGAAGAAGAGGAGAAGAGCCGCCCTGCACTGGCTGTCAGGCACTATCCGGCACGCCTTTGTCTAGGGATACCTACCCCAGTCCAAACCAACCTATCCAGTTGGCTAGCTTGCCCAATTTCACCTGTAGTGGCGTTGGTGCACTCTCTGTTCCTAGAGACACCATTATCCGGCCATACGTCGAGTGCGGGCCCACGCTGGTTACCAGATATGTGCCCATTCCTTCGAGGACTTTGCTTCCCGATATAATGAACGGGTCCTGGTCATCAGTAGCTGCGCCAGCACTGACCTTTTCAACCTGATCCGACTCCCCCGTCGCCATGGACTCGTCGCATTTCAGCCCATGGTTCGTTATCACGACCCCGTCGGCAGGGGCACAATCCCCCGGCCCAATATGGACGACATCGCCCACGACCAGGTCATTGATATGCAGCATCATCGGCCTTCCAGAGCGGATGACTCTCACCTGACGATCGGCTTTCTGCACCAGGTCAGTTACATTTCCTCGCTCAGGGCAGAACCTCAACCAACCAGTCTATTGAGTCTCGCAAACTGCCTCTCCTTCTGCCAGTCGTTCCCTGCAGTGGCAGCAACAACAATCACAATAGCGACGCAGACCGCCACGCCCTCGATCCAATCCACCTGCGACTGCCCGCTAACAGCTTCATATATCCCAAGCGCCAGCGAGACGACCGCCGCGATGGTCAGAAGGATGATAATCTTATCGTTATACGCGTCCCAGAGAAGCCTTCCAAAGCCTTTCCTCTTCGCGTCGGGCAGCACGTTCCGCCCGAACACGCGGGTTCGATCGGAGAATGGCACTGCGGTTTCCTGGTCGGGACGGGGCCGGGTTGCGTTCGCCAGCAGCGGCCGCTTGCTCTCCGTCTTGCATAGCGCTGCCTGTCTCGCCTCTTCTAGTGTGACGGCGCCAGGAAGGATCCTCTCGCTGGCTGACAGACCAGCGCTGAGATCGGTGCGCAGGCCATACTCAAGGCCGTGGAGGCCACCGAGAGCATAAAGTGCAGGGGGAGATTTGGGGTTGAAGAGCTGATTTAATTGGCCTGGCGAGAAGGCAAAACAATTGTCTCGTGCGGTTTGAGTGTCTGAGGCTACTGCTTCGGATCGGTCGTCTCGAACGGAGGACAGAGGCCTGAGACTCATTTTTGTGTGGATAAGCTGGGGACATCACTGTTCCTCAGAGCGTCTTGGAATTATACTGTCTATATACATTCCTTTCGCCTTGACCCATAAAAGCGTGGCTGTGTCGGACTCTTTGCTGCTACCCATGGTACCCGCATTGGCACCCGGACATTGAACAACTTTATCTTGAGAAGGAAATCCGTCTATCTAATCGATCAACCTGAAGACGCGGATCAACCAAACTCTGGACTCTTGGCCGCGCACTGCCTCTCTTGGCCGCATCATCCATAATCATCATGGTCATCATGGTAATCAGGGCAGATCATGGAAGGGAAGATACCTGGATCAGCTCGAGCAATGTTACAGAAAAGCGAGATATGCTTTGCTTAGCCCTTTATTCCCACCTATTCCTTTAGAAACATGTTGAATCTTCTTCCTAGACATAACATCTCCATAGTGCAGCCGAGCAGCTTCCCTAATTTAGAGCCTGCCATCGCGAATGAACTATGTAAACCGCAGACATCCCAACACGCCCGTTACGTCCTCTATCTTCAGTATCTCTATAAATATGATGCTTCATGATTATCGATGGCGGTGAACTTAAGTTGGCAGCGTCTATGCGTTGATTTAATATCCTTCCTGGACCTCGAAGTCTAACTTGCAGTCGGCATCTTCGTGCAGCTGCGACTCTACAACACCGCTACTTCCCTTGCATAATAGACCACCTGAACAATACACATTGATATTCTGCCGTATTGGGGATTGCAGAATTGATCAATCCAGAATTGCCGGATGCAGTCAGTGGCTGGCCGAGTGCAGGTCGTCTATTTGTCAACGCGCACCAAGACTAACCTCAGACACCCTTGGGCAGCCCTGCAACCATCATTCTCTATATAGCACTTGCAACAACAGACTCCGATCGTCACTCAGAGCCCACAGAAGCTGAAGATCGGCGCAAAGGCTTGCTCCTTGCAGCCTCGAACCAGCTTGGGCATGTATACATAAGTCTTGTCATTCTTGTCACTCCTGCGCTAGTTCCAGGCCTCGAAACACTCAGCAATTGACATTTATACTATATAACTTCCTCAACATTGCTCCCAAGATACAACATCACAATGAGAATCTGCATTTTGCAGTCATCCTACGAAGGACCAGATTCCGCACTACAAGATGTGGACGACAAGCCAGCCCAACCGGAGCTCTTCAACCGAACATACATTCGAATACCGCTTCATCCACAAAGCCAATGCTAAAGAAGGAATCGACGCTCTAGCAGCCGAGGGCTTCGACTTTTACTTCAACTTCATGCAGGGGACGCTGGATGACCCCGTCGCGGCGTGCTGGAAAGTCGGTACTTTGAGTCGCTGAATCTTCCTTCCTGTGGAATACGCAGCCGGGAATGCTCGATGACCAAGAACGACTTCTATAAGAATGCCAGACACCGGGGTGTGCCGCCGGTGCCGGGGACCGATCGTTTCCCTCTGTTTGTCAAACCCGCGAATGGACGTGCCAGTCGACTGATTAACCACCAGTATGTCTGTCACAACCAGGAAGAGCTGGAGGGCACTCTCCGCCGCATCAACATGGCGCTGTATGATGCTCGCGTGAGACGTGCTGAGGCGATGGGCATTAAAGATACAAAGGCCGATGCTGAATCGTACAACCCAGTCGGGCGCGATAGTGATGATATTGTGGCCCAAGAGTACATCGACGGGGAGGACTATACCTGTACTGTCATCCAACTGGGTGACGCTTGCCTTTCCTTGACTCCATCCAAGGTGGTCACAAAAGACGAGACCCGCATCGAGCTGCTACGCAAGAAGGAAAACCCTGTTTTGTTTGAACGTCTCCAAACCGTCGCAATTGACGCGTTCATGGTTAGTGGATGTCAAGGCAGCAACATGGGCTGCGCCGTTAATCTTCGTGCCCGGCCGAATGGCGACGTCTTCGCTATTGAGGTCGACCCCCAGCCTGCGGCTTTCATGCCTCAAGGGCCATGCCGGGATCTACCCATCATACACAGTCTTCCTGGAGGATACCCGGCGGTTATCAATATTTTCATCGCGAATCACTTGCTTCGAAACGCAGCGCAACGGGATGCCGCGGAGAAAATTGCCGCCTCGTACGATGGCTTCGCTTCGAAATACGACGCAGTCCAAGCCAACAGCAGCACCATTGCCACCGCTATTAGAAGCTTGACAGAGGCGTATGACTTTGGCGGGACCGTCTTTGATCTCGCCTGCGGCACGGGTATTTTCGGGCGTGTGTTGACAGAAACCAACCCCTCGAAAGGTAGCCGCTTGCTGGGCTTCGACATCTCCGCCCAGATGGGGGATATCTGCCGGAGCAGCGGTGTGTATGAAGCCGTTCATATCGACTCGATGGAGCAGGCTCTGCTCAACGGTGATCGCTTCGCCGAGGGCGCCGACCATATAGTCTGCTTCGCAGCGGTCCACTTCCTGCGCCCTGAGATATTCGCATTTGTTCTGGTCCTTTGCTTGATCCTGGCCAGGAAGTCCATAATCATCGGCGTCGATGAAATCCCAGACGTTGACAATGAAAAGCTCGAGCAAATGAACGCTGGGCACATACATGCATGGAACCACCTTGCCAGTATGCTGGCATTCGGAGAGCCTCCCAATTGGCAATTGACGAAGAGTACGAGGCAGTATTCTCGGACATCGCTTGGTACAGGAGATGAAATTTATACTACGTATTTCCGATTTGATCGAGTCGGAGAAAGCCAAGATCTGATGTTCAAAGGGCCAGAGTTTCCCAATTAGTCGTCGTGCCGTAATTTGATGATTATAAGGATGGAATTTCAGATATTATCTGTAAACGGAGATTCCATTGTATCACTTCAGTTCACCCTTGCTCACCTCTGCTCCGTACTGGAAGATGCTAAACAAAAGTGCTCGTCCAAAAGCTCTACAGGGAGTACTACTTTACAATCAATCCTATAGTAGGATATTAAAATAATTTCATGTACTAGGATAATCCTCTCTCTTTCTATACATAAATAAATATAATTTATCATCCCTACTATATGATATTTGGATATTTGATATCTGACTATACGATAGTGGAGCGCCGGCTTTCCCAATCCGGAGCCCGCCACCAACCACAAACGACTTATAAGCCCATCCCCCAATCAGTTTTCCATAACAATCCATTGCCCTTCGTATCTAAGCAATTACCACAACAGCTACGAATCATGTCCCTCACACCCGAGGAAACCACCCTCGTCGACGCCGCCACATCAACTATAACCAGCATCCCCGTCTCAGACACCTACAGCGTCGCCAGCGCCGCGCGATCTACCGACGGACGTATCTTCACCGGTGTCAACGTCTTCCACTTTACCGGCGGGCCCTGCGCCGAGCTCGTCGTCCTGGGGTCTGCTGCAGCAGCCGGCGCCACGCATCTGACGCATATCGTTGCAGTCGCGAATGAGAAGCGAGGCATCATCAGCCCGTGCGGACGCTGTCGGCAGACATTGATTGATTTGCAGCCCGGGATTAAGGTTATTGTGTTCGATCGGGGGGAGCCGAGGGCTGTGCCGGTGGAGGAGCTGCTGCCTTTTGCGTATCTTGTGGATTGACTGGTCGATATCATGGGTTTGAAGCGTCCAGTATTTAGGTCGTAGTGTGAGAGCTTCGACGTACACTGTCTATTGTCCTAGCCAACCATTAACAGGGCTTCTATGGATGCTTTGATCTGGCCAGAATGTATCTACTCCACATGATGGCGTAGTACGAACATGACGCCTCTATTCTCTTTCCAAAAGGTCCTAGGATATTTCTCTTATGAGGATCATTTATGAAGTCTATATAGCGCTATATCCCTGCACTGATCCGATAAGACCAAATACTCAGATCTGCTCAGTCATGACAGACATTACTGCTCCTGTCCCATGCTCAAAAAGAACCCAGCCATACCCTTCGCTCCATTCTCTCCAAACATCATCTGTCCATTACTAACCGTCTCCTCCGCCTTCTCCTTCGCGCGTGCCACCATATCCTCCTCAAACGCCCTCAGTAACGGATCCAGCGCAGTCTGAAACTGGCTAACATCCTGTCCATTCTCCCACACCTCGACAATAACCTTCGCAAGTAAGAGCGCGTCACACATCGCAAGATTGACACCCTCCCCAGCCCACGGACACATCAGATGCGCGGCGTCCCCGACAATAGTCACACCAGGCTTATGCTCCCACGCAGCGCCAATAGGCAGCATATACAGCGGTTTGACCTCAACAACCCCACCAGGCTGGTCCGTAGTTTCATCGCACGCAACACCAACAGCCACCAACTCCTTCACAGAGTCACCAAACCTCCCCAGTAGGGCCTCGTCACTGAGTAACTGCTCCTTCGTTACACTGGCCACTCGCTTCCCCTCACCAGCGAGCCCCTCCTCCGCCGTGAGAAAGACATACACGCGCGCTGAATCCCGCGGACCCCGATGCGTAATCACCCCATGCCGCAGCCCAAGCGACAGGAAACTCCCTCGCCCAATCAGCGCTGCGAGGTGCGGATACCGCGTGCTGATATTCTCGATCGTCAGCGTAATACTTTGGATTCCTGCGTAGAGCGGTCTGATATCCGTTAGGAGAGCGCGGACGGCTGACCACGCGCCGTCGGCGCCGATGACGAGGTCGAATGTATGTTTGCCTCGGGGGCCAAAATCTAACTCTGTTTCTGTGCTGACGCCGGCAATCCTCGCAGAGAGAAGCTTATGCCCCCATTTGATGCAGTCTTTTGGTACTTTGCTGAGGAGAATAGCCAGCAGAGCGTGCCGGGCGATCTCTGGCCGGTCACTCGGCCGGTTATTGCTGTCATCTTCGTCGCTGTAGAGGATGTTCCCGTCTTTATCAGCGACCTTTTGCGTCTCGGCGCAGTCGCCTGTGTGTTTGAGGAATTCGTCGTAGAGACCGCACTCGCGGATGGCGGATAGGCCGGATCCCTCGTGGAGATCGAGCATGCCGGATGGTTTTGAGAGTTCTTCGGCTGTTGGTTTCTGGCGTAGCTCGAAGATGGTAAATGGGATGGTGTGTTTGTGGAGGAGGGCGCCGAGCGTTAGGCCTGCGGGGCCGGCGCCGATGATGGCGATTCTGGGGGACGTCATATGAAATATATGATTGAGATTGGAAGAGATAACTGTTCTTAATATATATCGCAAATGCGAGCGTCAGAACGCTGTAAAGCAGACACAAGAAGACGCTTTATATACTTTGGCCAAATGTGTAGCTTGGGGTTTAGTATCTCCCGAGCGCAGTTTGCTAAGTCCCGAGTAAGGCATCCCACCTACCATCTTTCGTTGATACTGATCAATGTCTATTAGAAGCTGTTAGACCTCCCATATTCCCGTCTCTCGATGATAGTATTAGTGATTATTATTAGCAGTTATTACACTGAATTGTGGTCTAGCTGACCATAATCGGATTGCCAGAACATCCCGTTTTGATCGAATAGGACCAGTATGGAATGTATGAAGGAATGAAGTATAGGATTAAGCAGATCCTGTAATGTTCGAAGCAAACGGTGAGCGAGCGTCTAACGCTGTGTGGAGGTTTTGGTAAAGATATACTCTTGTGAAGTGATTGCTGTCCTTATCAAGATGGAGGAAATGCAGGTCAAGTAACCACCTTTATAAACCATCCCAACCTGTTCGACATTCTCAGTCACGCTATGATCATGAGATATGTTCCCAGGGCATGGTCGGCCAGAAGAACTAAAGTACTCTTACATATTAGCACCCCTCTACGGAAGAGTATCTCCCTTTCTTAGCAGTTATTCTTTGGCTTCAACTCATTGGGACAATCCCATGTATTGAGTATAACAACATCGGCTGATGCTCCACTTGACGTCACCTTGACTATTGATAGCTGTATCCTTGGGCGAATTATAGTGAAACTAATGTAGGTTACGCAGTTGTAGAAAACACTAATACAGGGTCTGTTTGTACATGGGCTTGTAATTTTATCTGGATCCATGTACCCCGCCCTGAAGAAAGTATACATAGTGGGATATCATATAGTAGTACCCTGTACAGTTGAAATTTATATTGACCCACATGGACAGTGGGCACACCAGTAGTACTGCATATTCAAATTATATGCATCAGTATGGTATTTGATATCCTACTATGCATGCCGTTGAATATCGTAGGTAGTGACAGTAGGTAATACATGCAGCAACAGTAGAAAACTAAATGGTTCCTTTTGACAGAGACAAACTACTATTAATGTTTGCTAGTTGCTATCTACCTGGCCTATATTAACTCAACTATGGTTCTCCAGGATGAAAGGAACCAATCCCGCCGAGGTTCGCACTTTATCAAGGTGCCAACGCCGATCACCCTAGCCGCCGAAACTCGGTGACCTGCAATGTAGCCATGTCTCCGATGACCTGCAGAGACACTTGCCCCGCATCTGAAGCTGAAGCCTTGTCATGGAATGACAAAGATCCACCCAAGGCAACCATTGATTGCAGCGGATCAACCTCTTGCCAAGGACGAGGTTCACACTCCCAAGAACTGAGTGCAGATACGCATCACACAGGAACAAGCTGAGTCTCAAAGGCGAACACCTGCTCCATGCGCTAGGATAAATACGAGGTGGCATCTGCAAAATGCCGATCCTGACTGAGACACCTGCGGGAAGTGAAACTGATGACAGCAGCTGGAGCTTGCAGCCTGCACTCGTCCTGGCAATTGGTGCCGATTGGATCTATGGCAGAACAGAGACAGGGCAGAGTACAAGCAGTGGCTAGCTGAGAGCTGACAGTTGTGAGGCGAGACATCGTCTCATTCGTTGACAGCAGGGTATCGAACATCATCTGTTGTTACTCTGATACTGTACGCTGAGTGAGTCAAGAATGGTGTGTCCTATGCCCGCATCCACATACTCATTAAGAGCAATTGATACTTCAACAGTCAAACATAAGGATGCAAGCTTGTGGTGACATCAGATACCTCCACTGATGCAAACTGCACCAGACGGCTAGCCCGGATTGAAACTGTATGTGATCCGTCAAATCCGTCACACTGCATGCCGTTCATGCAGTGTTACGTCCTCCGCGGAGCTCCCTCAGTCAATTCTTCTCTTGACCAGTTAGATGTGGATTTGACAGGAGCTCAGCTACCTCTGTCCTGGATGATCGACCAGCTGATCACTGAACACCATGATCGAATTGCCCCCGAGCCTGTCATGGCTGGATCATCGTCGCTGATGAGCGTCAGGAAGGCTGAAAAGTGGCTGGCGAAGATGTCACAAGTCCTCAGGAGCTGAGTTGCCATTAGGTAACGGCGCTTCGAGTAGGGTCAAGACATCATGACTGCTGGCAGCTACAAGCACACAGAGTGCAATGCTCGAAAGACATAAAAGGGAGCGAAACCCACGGCCAGAAAGCTCTCACTCATCACTGACCAACATACAATACATCCTATCCAGCTATAGTTTAGCAATCCATCATCATGAAGACCCTCGCTCTTACTCTGGTTACCCTGCTCCTGCAGGCCCCTCCCCTCCAAGCCAAAATGTACCGCCAAAACGTCCTCACCTTCGAGGTGAGCCCCGACGCACGCGTCACCGGCCAGAAAATCGAGTACAACGATCCAGACTGCGACCCAGGCATGCACTGCGTCGTGACCAAGACCTGCGCGGCCCCGGGCACCGGCCCCACCCTCAGCGCCGACAAGAAGCACTTCGCTTGCTGCCAGACGGGCCAGCGGCTGCTCGGTAGCCCCGAGACGGCGTTTGACTGCTGCGCTGAGGGTCACGAGCTGGCTGGCTCGGCCCAGGCAGGCTACCACTGCTGCCCGACGGGGTATTCCTTTGACGGACAGCAGTGCAAGCAGGTATGCAAGAACGGCAAGCTGATGGTCAACGGACAGTGTGTTTGCCCTGAGGGGATGCTCGAGGCGGAGGACGGGTCCTGCCAGGCTAGGACGCAGGCGATTTGTACGTCTGGCCTGGAGAGTGGTGGGTCCATACACCCCCTTGCCCTCAAACAATGCTATGCTATGCTAACGGCTCTGATAAGGAAAATGCTACACCTTCACCGCTGAGAATGGCAACCGGCTCGGCCTCCGCAACGACGGAGTCTACTACGCCGCACCAGACAGCATGGTCCAGCGCTACGGCAAGTTCCAGCTCTGCAGTGACGAGAAATGCACCCCAGGCCGCGCCGTGAACCCCTCCGACAAGACCTACATCAAGGATCTGTACGGAGATGTAGCGACGGGCGCGAACGCGGGGCAGTGGCTCAACAATGCGCAGAACGGAGCGCATATCGGGCGGACTCCGACCTTTGCCAACGCGGGCCAGTTCGTGCTGAGCAAGTGGCCTTGCGGCAAGTACTGTCTGGGTGGATTTGCGGCGGGCATTGGGCCAGCTTGTCCGGCGGAGATCCCGGCTATGACCTTCTACTCGCAGGATCCGCAGATGTGTGTGCCGTATGAGTTGACCGAGGTGCCGTGTGATATCAAGGCGAATGCGAATAATTGTATTTGGAAGAATGGGGACCAGTGCTGCAATAAGGTGGACTGTACCTGGCGTCCTCTTTGAGTGATTCCAGTCATCCAGTGTTTAGGAGGTGCAGTGTCGAGTCTGAAGTAGTTCCTATGTTGTGAAGTTGCTATTGTGATTAACATTGCCTGAATTACTGTCATTCATTATGATCATGCGTACATCAAGTTCTACTGTATATCTCTGACACCAGGCCTCGGAATATGCTGGAGAATGGCCATTCCCTTCTTGAAACGGGGAGGCATACTCCGCGCAGCTAAGAGTCTTGGTACCTGTCGATCTTGCGGGGAAAACCCATATCGGCAAACCAATGGCTCTATTAATATGGATAAATACAGTAATCTGGAGAGGAGCTAGTCCTGCCGATTGAAGGATTCTCAAATACCGAGGAGTCCACCAATCCAACCTGCAAGAGTGGCGTCCACCATTCCACATCCATCACGGACACAGCTCACGATGATCTATTGGAAAGGTCCGTTCCATTGACTTCTAGTAAGTCAATTAATCCTGAGAAATATGCCGAATCGAACACGGGGACACGGGGAACGGGCCGTCGGTGACCCTGACCCTGAGCGTAGCCATCGACTATTTAACTCGACTTCTCGACGCGATGTCTGTCTGATCAACCACAACCACAACCACAACCAAGATGAAGTTCTCCTTCCTCACCGTGGCCAGCTTCCTCATAGGGCAAGTAGCCCTGGCCGCCCTCAGCGCAAAGAAATTCGCCAGCGCATCAGACCTCCAGTTCACCATCGACGGCAAAACAGGCTACTTCGCCGGCTCCAACTCGTACTGGATCGGGTTCCTGACCAACAACGCCGACGTCGACCTCGTCTTCGACCACATGAAAGAATCCGGGCTCAAGATCCTGCGCGTCTGGGGCTTCAACGACGTCAACACCGTCCCCGGACAGGGGACAGTATACTACCAGGTGCACGCGAACGGGAAATCGACGATCAACACGGGCGCGGACGGACTGCAGCGGCTGGACTATGTGGTCCACTCGGCGGAGAAGCGCGGCATCAAGCTCATCATCAACTTTGTGAATAACTGGGATGACTACGGCGGGATGAACGCGTATGTCAAGGCGTATGGCGAGACGGACCATAATGCGTTCTACTCGAACAAGAATATCCAGAACGCGTACAGGCGGTATGTCAAGGCTGTGGTGTCGCGGTATACGAACTCGCCTGCGGTGTTTGCGTGGGAGCTGGCCAATGAGCCCAGATGCAAGGGGTGTGATACCGAGGTGCTGTACGAGTGGATCAAGTCGACGAGCGAGTACATCAAGAAGCTGGATAAGCGGCATATGGTTTGCATTGGCGATGGTATGTCCCCAGCACTTCTCCATACATCTCCTTCCCTTGGACAAGGACAACACTGACGAAAGCAGAGGGCTTCGGCCTCGACCTCCTCTCCGACGGCAGCTACCCCTACACCTACGTCGAAGGCAGCAATTTCACGCGCAACCTCGCCATCCCCACCATTGACTTTGGAACCTTCCACCTCTACCCGGACAGCTGGGGCACGACCCACGAATGGGGCAATGGCTGGGCGCAATCGCACGGCGCTGCATGCAAGGCTGCCGGCAAGCCCTGTCTGTTTGAGGAGTATGGCGTTACCTCCAACCACTGCGCGCTCGAGACGCCCTGGCAGAAGACCTCGTTGAATACGACGGGGGTCTCAGGGGATTTGTACTGGCAGTACGGGGATACGCTGAGCACAGGACAGTCGCCGAATGATGGTAATACGATTTATTATGGCACCGATGAGTTCAAGTGTATTGTGAAGGATCATGTGGCGGCGATCAAGGCGAAGCAGGGGTGGGTTTAGCTGGCGGTAGTATGAAAGTTTAGAGCCGTTATCACAAGAGTGAAAGTGCATTATTCTACTGAAGCCAACCCAGGCAATGATAGAGAATAAGTATACAGGTATCGGAGATAGTGCTTGCCTTGTTACTGGGATGAGTAGCATCATCTACATAAATATATACATGGCCGCCAGATCTGTCCAAGTAATTGAGGCTGGAGCAGAGATTGAGCATGGCTTATTCTAGATATTGTGAGCATAAGTAGGAGACATGACCACAGCTATATTGCCTGGAATGCTTGCTAATAATTTACTTTGTTGCATGATACAAGAAATTGATAGCAGCCTTATGTTATCCACACATCTCATAACAATCTTTCCCCATGGAAAGGCAAGGTTATCCTCGGAGTTCCGGCCCTTAACTGTGGCAACTATTCAGACAAGCCACTGAACCCTATTGATTCTGCAATAAGGCTGTCACATGGCATGATCTGTCTACCAAATGGATATCTTATCGGATGCATCTCAGATGAGGTAATAATGGTAGGCCTAGTCAGATCTCCAAAGATAAGCATATGGAGAGACATATGCGTACACCTCCAGATGAGGACAGCCACAGATTCCCGGTCCGGTGCCGGGCCGGTTAGATACGGAGTGTGGCTTAAACAAGGTGACAAGGCTTGAAGACAGCTGGATTTGGTTCATGGCTGAAGGAAAAGTTTGTCAAAAGGTTAAAGTATCAATATGAGGGCATATTCTGTAAAGATGATATGATTCCAGACTCAGAGTGAGTGGAGTGCTGATGCTCTCCACTGTGCTCTGGAGTATGGTGTTTCTATTAGGTAAAATCTGGGGAGATGGGTCTTCCCCAGATCATATGATCTGGAAGTAGTCTATTTCCTGAACAGATGGAATACTAGATCTACAGTATCTACATCATATGCAATGTCCTGTAAGGCACTTGTGTACTTGCATCTACAGTCCCTATTCTATCTGATTCTTCCTCCTATCTAATATTATCTGTGAATGTGCGCTCGCTAATCAAGGAATCAGCCACAAAGATAAATTGCCCCTACAGTCTGACCCTAATCTACTTCCAGCCTAGCGTGGCTTTAAATGCCTCGTGTTTCTCCTTCCAGCCAATCATCTTGTCTCCCGCCCCCGCATCCATGTCCTTATCAGCTGTATGCACCAATAACGGGCCATTGTGACTCCTGCGTCTCAGTGTCACCGTTCCGGGTGCGGGGGAGCCGGTGAGAAAGAACAAAGAAAGAGAGAGAGATTTATCTATCGGGATGATCTCGTGTCTCTGTCTTATGGGAGGCCGTTGCACGGACTTATTCCCATGATAGCTAGATAACCGACCTCGGGTCGCCAGAAAATTCCTACTTAACCTCCCGTCCCCCGGGCTGTCCTCCCCCCCAGTTTCTTTCCATCTTCTCTTCCTTGTACATCAACAAGAATCAGAATCAAGGATCAAGGAAAATGGCGGAAGAAAAACCCACTGCCGCTTCGGCCCATTACCATGACCCCGAGGCCAACGTCAAACATGGCACCATCCAGGCCTTGGTCGAGCGCGATCTCCTGGACGAACGATACAAAATCACCGAGCGAGGACTGAAAAACCGTCATGTACAGCTGATGGCGCTGGGTGGCACCATCGGGACGGGTCTGTTTGTCGGGTCGGGACAGGCGCTCGCCATCGGTGGTCCTCTGTCGCTGCTGCTCGGGTACGTCTTTATTTCCGTCCTGGTGTATGCGCTGGTGACGGGGATGGCCGAGATTGGCGCGTATCTGCCGGTACATGGAGGGACAATGAGTTACCATGGGTTTCGCTATGTGTCGCGCAGCATGGGTTTCGCCATGGGCTATCTATACTGGTATTCGCTGGGGATCCTGGTGCCGTACGAGATTGTCGCCGCGTCCATGGTCATCGATTACTGGCACCCCGGCGTGCACATCGCCGTGTGGATCTCCATCATGCTGGTCATCATTGTTCTGCTCAACTTTATGCCCGTCAAAGCCTACGGCGAGACCGAATTCTGGTTCGCCGGCATCAAGATTATCACTCTGATCGGCCTGCTGGTCCTCTCCTTCATCCTCTTCTGGGGCGGCGGCCCCAACCGCCAACGTCTCGGCTTCCACTACTGGAAGGACCCCGGCCCGATGAACGAGTATCTGGTGCACGGTGACGCCGGCCGCTTCGTCGGCCTGCTGCAGTGCATCGTCAAGAGCGCCATCGCCTTCATCTTCGCCCCAGAACTGATCATCATCTCCGGCGGCGAGATGGAGTCCCCCCGCCGCAACGTCCCCACCGCCGCCCGCCGCTACATCTACCGACTCGTCTTCTTCTACATCTTCGGCGCCCTCGCCATCGGCGTCATCTGCTCCTCCAAAGCCCAGCAAATCACCTCTGGCAACGGCGACGCCTCCTCCTCCCCCTGGGTCGTGGCCATCCACAACGCCGGCATCCCCGTGCTCGACAGCATCGTCAACGCCGCCATTCTGACGTCCGCCTGGTCCGCCGGCAATTCGTTCCTGTACATGTCCTCCCGCTCGCTCTACTCCCTCGCCGTCTCCGGCAACGCCCCCAGCGTCTTCAAAGCCTGTAACCGCTGGGGCGTCCCCTACATGGCCGTCGGCATCTCCTCTCTTTTCTCCCTGCTCGCCTACCTCGCCGTCGGCAACGGCTCCAACACCGTCTTCAACTGGCTCATCAACTTCACCAATACCTCCGGCTTCATCTCCTGGATCTGCTGCAGCATTGTGTACTTCCGGTTCGACAAGGCCTGCAAGGTCCAGGGCATCGAGAAGCCGTATACCTCCAAGATGCAGCCATACGGGATGGTTGTTGGCCTTGTTGGTGCGGCCTTCCTCGCGCTGATTAACGGGTTTACCGTGTTCTTTCCGTCCGAGTGGTCCGCGAGTAATTTCTTCACGGCGTATATCGGCATTCCGGCTTTCCTGGTGCTGTATTTCGGTCACAGGTTGATCTTCTGGGAGGACCCGTGGGCGTGGCGGAGTGAGGAGGTGGATATGCAGACTGGGTTGGCGGAGATTATTGCCGCGGAGAAGCCGCCGAGGGTTAGGGATACATGGTGGAAAAAGATGCTGGTTATTGTTGAGTGATTTGTTTGTATGTATGATAACTAGCCCTTTGTATAATTGACTTAGGAATATCAACATGGTCAACCTCATATAAAATAACCATAGCCCGACCTTTACACAAATCAGGACGTAGGATCTGGCTGTTCCGGGAGTGTAGTCTTGCGAAACTGGGGGCTATTAACATGTCTGATCCTCTTGTACAGCGATTAATTCAGAGTGCATTTAGACGATCCTCAATAGATGTACAAAGTATGCCGTAACGCGTCTATCAAGAGTATATAAAGTATACGCAGTGCTACACAACTAATTACCTTTCGCAGCATCTGCACCGATCGTTTCAGGGATAGAGGTTATCCGACCGAACGAGCCAAAACGCAAGTCCGCCCAGAACCTTTTCGTCTCGTCTATATACCTCGTCTCCTCCAGTGGGACCTCCCAGTCCCTACTATGTGATTCTGCTATCTCAAGATACGGCGTCAGGATCTGCGTCAAATTGGCTTTTGGGGTTCCCGGAAAGTGAACGAGGAGGTCACCAGGGGACACCTGGAGATGCAGCGGAGTATCAGGGTTGAGATCTACCCCGTTTGGATGTCTCATGTAGGCATTGAACCACCGGAGCGGGCAGTACACGGTCGATCGAGCAAAGTACTCGTTCTCGGCCAAGACATTGTTGATGGCGGACTGCTCGATCCACATAAGCTGGACGTTAGGCTTCACAACCGGGTAGGCGAGGGCGGCAGAAAGCAATTCCACGGACCAGGGATGAACGCGAAGGAAAAAGTCCCCGCTGTGTAGCCCATTCCAGTCCCTGCTCGCCAACAGGTGCATGTTGGACAATTCCGGCGGGGGAAGAAATGCCTCCAGCGGCATGTTAGGATTCATCAGCACCGTGTCGCTGTCGAACCAACTGTGTAGCGTCAGCGTGTTTCTCGTCAGTGTCAAATCTACGCCCCAGGAGTTGCAGGTACTCACAAGAGCCACTGCAATCGCTGATCGGCCGGCTTTTCCAGTTCCCGGAGCAAGACTGACTGAAGAATGGCGAGCTTGTTCCAAATGCCATTCAGTATCGGATTCCGCAGAACCGTAAGAGGGTAGCCCAGTCGCCGACTGTGCTCCTTGTGCGTCTCCAAAGTTCTCTCGTAGATCGAATGGCTCCCGTATATCATCGTCACCTTGCCTATTGTCGGGGTACGCTGAGATGCCCCTGGGGTTGCAATTTTGTCTGTGGTGTGTTAGCACCATACCATCATAGATAATCAATTGCTCAAGCATGTTAAGGAACATACGGTGATTAGAAAACAGGCTGAGTAGCACAAAGACACCGAGAAAGGCCAAAAGCACGTGTCCAACAGCACTCAACTTGAGTCGCTGGCTCTTAATCTGGTAGGACCTGGCCATGATGGGATCAGACTTGCATATTGACATTTCCCGCTTGTAGCAGGTAATGAGTCTATATCCAAGAAAGGATGGACGATCGAAACAGACTTGAAGCGGGAAGGTATGGCTAAGTACGCGCTGCTAATAGTAAAGTGATCAGACCCAGAAATTGGATTCATGACCTGATCGGATCATTCTGTCTGGAGTACTTAAAAGAAATTTCTTTAAGCCCCCGTACTTGAGCAGGTAGTTTTGCGTCCACTTGATTGCTACATAGGTTGCCGCCGGCTTCGCGCCGAGCCATCAACTGGGCCAATGGTGTTGAGATAGTGAATAAGCAGGCCCATTTCAAAACCATCCCTAGATACTTGGCGCGTCTCAGCTCACTGCACTGTAAAAGTGAACTAAAGTCTGGCCTAAAGGTACAGCTAGAACATTCGCGCTTATGAGCGAGCATTTTCGGCGGGTCTATTTTGGGCTCAGTGGTTGCAAGCAGGGTCGAGACATCATCCTTTTAGTTAGTAAACGAGGGTGAACTTCTGTATCTCTAGCCACGTTATAATGCCGATAGAACCTGTAAAAGTAACCTAACTCACATGTGCGATTGCAACAGTCTACAACGATTTCCACTTGATTTAGGCGCCTGGAAATGACTGTTGCGAATTGACCCCGCCACATTGAACCATTGATGCGGTCTAATAATCACTAGGGGATAATCAAGCTGTATGCTGCATTTAGTTAGTAACTTATTGATATTTGCCAGTAACAGGGTTGGCCCCGACGATGGCCTGATTTGATATGTAAAGGATGCCTCGACCGCGCTCCAGGGTTGAGGTCTCTACCAAGCGACTGGATGCGCAGGATTGAGCAAACCGAGACAGTAAAGATCTTATTCTGATGTCGCAGGACTAATAGTCCTTCCTATCTAAAATGCATAGGCCTATCAAGGTAGTTGATGTTCGTCGATCACCGTAGGAACTTCGGGTCTACCGATGATAGGATGAACTCGATCCCAGAGGCTAGCAGCGTTAGATGTAACCGCTTAGCTGTAGATAGTGTGGCACGCAGCCTCGTTTACGCTCCCGGCGCTAATTCTGTATCTAAGGAGGATGGAAGCCAGAAATTTGGTAGTTCAGGGACAGAGTGCAACCCTAAATGATCTAGTACCGTTTACGGGGGTTCCTCTTAAGGCGAGCCAAACCCATACTCCGCCGTATGATGTCGATTTCCGTTAACTAAGAACAAGCAAATCTCGAGGTCTCGAATCTCCTGTTGAAGATGTGGGTGGTCGACATACCAGCCACCCAGACGTCACAGACGTGGTCCTCCACATCTATCTCTACGACAACACTCCCTCTGCCGACCATGTTCACGCCACCGGCGGGTTGTGCATACTCCTGGACCTGGGAGCCTTTCAGCTACAACTGGGTAAAGCCCAGTGGCCTCTTGATACAAAACTGCGAAACCGTGGTCAGCTCTTGTTTCCCATCTGGATTTGCAAACGTGGGAAGAACGGCGGCGACACAAGTCTATAACCCTGGAGCCTGTCCTGTGGGATATACCTCTGCCTTTGTCGCCGTTGGTGATCAGATAACCACTGCAGTATGCTGTTACTCGTGCGCGCTCACCCATCGCCCATGGCGTTTGTTCTGAATGCTGATCATGGATCCAGTAATTTCGTGTACACTACCACGGAAGTGAGCTATAGTGATGGACCGCCATCAATGTACGCCGGATGTACGAGCTACCTCCCAGAGAAAAGCTCGACATTCGTTTTCGCCCGAGGAGCAAGGGCGACCCAGGAGATACAGATGACCGGCTCCATGATCATGTGGGCACAGCCTATCACAGTCGAATTTGTGGCTTCTGATCTGTCCCGGCTTGGAATAAAATATCAAACTGCTATATCCACACCCAACCCCACAGCCACGACCTCGACAACCCATTCTCCAGTCTCGCAGCAGTCCATTACGGCAGCATCCACCTCCACGGAGGCTTCACAGACCTCCCCCCGTGCCCAGGCCTCGGTTCACCCTTCTTCATCCACCTCTACTGGCTTGTTCTTATCAACAGCCGCAAAGGCCGGAATTGGTGTCGGTGCCGGAGTCGGCGCACTCCTCATTTCGGTCTTTCTCTTCTTATGGGTCTCACGCCATCGCAAAGCAAAAGCCAACGTGGCTAACATGCATATTGCACCTGGGATCGGTCTTCCACACTACTACAACACCGACGAACTGCGAGGAGGATTTCCCCCGCCGGCCGTCAGTATGAAGCAAACACGTGGGCCACCGATGGAATCGGATAATGGGGACTACTCTAAGTACCCCGGCAAGGATCTACCGGAACTCCAGGGTTGAGTCTCTACTGTTTCTCTTCTTCGTGACTTTTCCTTTCTCGCCGTTCACAGCATCCAATTTGAGCAGCGATTTCACAGTGGGCAATGTCGTTGCCACATTTGATTCATGTATATAAGTATTGTTAATCAGTAGATATTGGATGTTACATTAGTTAGAGCATTATTAGTGCAGCTCAGATGAGGGCTTTAGACGATCTGGGAATGATTCCTCATATTTTGTACCAATTTCAGTCTGACCTGCCTACTGTGCAGCCCTAGAATTGATGGCATTGACATTATATGATGGCTGGAATATATATCCTCATACCGCGAACCTCGTATTGATAACTATATAATTTACTACCCTATCGCAGCGATACCCCACCAAATACGAGACCCCGCAGCTGCATAGCTGATCCAGATACGTATATAAACCTCAATCCATCTCTGCAGAGTCCTCATCACCCCTTCCGTCATTCTCTTTCTACGACAAACACCGAAAATGACAACCAATACAGCAGAGAATACCCTATTTCCCATAGAAGGCGGCTGCGCCTGCGGCCTCATCCGGTATCGTCTCGAAACCCAACCCCTTATCATCCACTGCTGCCACTGCACCTCCTGTCAGCGCGAGACCGGCACCGCATTCGCCCTAAACGCCGTCATTGAGGCTAGCATGGTCACTCCCATCCCCTCGTCCACTCCAACCGTCCCTGCGTCTGCGGAGAGCCCCGCAAAACCAGCCGGCCCGCCACTCGCACACGTAGCCCAGAACCAGGTAGTTGAACCGGAAATGATCCTCACGCCATCTGAATCAGGCAAAGGACAGGATATCGCTCGCTGTCCCAAGTGCCATGTAGCGGTTTGGTCGCACTACGCCGGGGCAGGACCGTATTGTCGATTTGTGCGGGTGGGGACGCTGGATGAGGCTTGGAGGGTAAGCCCGGATGTGCATATCTACACGAGGAGTAAGAGGGATTTTGTGAGGTTGGATGATGGAGTACCCCAGTTTAGGGAGTTCTATTCCCGTGAGCAGATTTGGAGGAAGGAGAGTTTGGAAAGGTGGGAGGTGATTTGGCCGGAGGTTAAGAGGTATAAAGAGGGGTTGGCCTGATTGCAGTAAGTTATTATATTTATGCCTTCTGGGCGAATGGATAGGCTTGGATCCGTTAAAGCATACTCTGTACAACCTGGAGATATAACATAGTCCAGCACTGCCAGTACTAGCGGATATCTCTGATAATGCTGAGACATGCTTCGTTATCGAGCATATGACCAAGTATTATGCAGTCGACACAGGGGATCACTATTTACAGTCACATAGATGGATGCTTTTAACATGATACCCAAGTCCCCGGAAGGAGTGGCCAAGCCTTTGTATGTTGACTGTGACACAATTCTTTGATACTATGTATTTTCCAAACAAAGACATTCGAGCCTCGAACCCACTAACCGACGGCGCAGACAAACCTCATTATCCATATTCGAGTATCAATAGGTTATCCCCCTGCTTATTGATCTATTGAACACAGCCGCAATTGTGTCCCGTCAAGTAAACAAAGAACATATCCAAGTATAAACGCCTCGCCTCGTCTTCATCCAACCCAAATCAACAACTTAGTCAATCATATACTCGCAGAACAACCAACAATCAAGATCATGAAATTCTCTCTGCTGGCAGGGGCAACCCTTTTCCCCCTCTCCGTCCTGGCACATCCAAATCTAAATCCAAACCCACTCAACGTCCTCCGGAAATGCATCCCCCTCCTCGGCGACATTGGCGAAAGCGAAGCATGGTTCATTGCGAACCTGCAGTGTAACTATGCTGTAAGTCATATGCATTGTTTTCCACCTTATATTGATACTGACTGACTTGTCTAGTGTCAGAAAAATGGATTCAACGGCGGTGGGTGTGATAGGGCTGCATAGTAAGTTTACCTTTACCTTATTCCTTAAGCAGAGATGTAGTGCGTTTTGCTGATGGACTGCAGTGAGTGTCTCTGCTCTTAGCTGGTGCGTGCTGAGTGAGTTGATTGAGTTCTATTTGATGTTAATGTCAATGTTTGATTCAGGATATACTTTGAAGTACAACTACATAACATGCACAAAGGGATGTTTACACAGTCGCTTATTATCAAGATCAACTATCATCTAAACAGGTATTAATAGTTATCCAAGTGTCAATAGCATTAGCATATCTATGTCAATATCCAGACAAAGGATGTAAATGTCGATTGTACTATGTTTCTTCCTGTATGACTCTATCAACTGATCCTCTGTTTTCCTCGTACCGCGGATAGAAATGATAGGTTGGGTCTAAGTTGAGCTATTTAATTATTACTAGTTATGACATATGCAACAAATATAGTCACTACAGAGGCATAGCGCCTACGGGACAGGACATTGAGTCATAAGATTTGTGCTCCAAACCCTCAAGTCTTTCCCAGACGCATCCTCGTACCATCGGCAAATGAAATTATTGAATATGGGGCGCGACTCTTGCCGCACCACGCCGCTCGAATGTGCAACACGTTCTCCAACTTTGTCTGCAACGCCGGTAAACATCAGCTGGGACTGTCTGATTGTCATGATCCATCGACAAAGACCCAGCCCTATGTCAAGATCACGACAGCCAAGATGCTCGCCCAGCTCCTCTCTGACGCAACCTTTATCGATATATCCAACTGCTTTGGCATACTTCAAAATATCTTCGATTCAAACAACCACATTGATGTCCGTAGCGAGGTTGTCATGGCAGTTCTGCGACTGTTCCGCCGCGCGGCAGACTTCACTTCGGTATTTACTGCAATGGCCTCGATGGCAAACGCCGCTTCTGGCCCGAGCGAACGAGAAGCCATATCGGAGGCCGACTGGCTTGCCGCCGAAAAAGGAGAGAGACCTCTCCCAGAGGTTGCCACCGTATCCGATCGCCCCTTGTTCCGGTGCTTCCTGGAAACCGCCTTCGACTACCTTCCTGAAAAACACCGCAGAGAATACTTGCACAAGGTCCTCCTGCCGCTATTTGAAGAATCAACTCGGCAGCACACTCGCTGGATACGGTGTTTCCTGTCGCAGGTTCACCTTACTCCCGTGAAGACGACGCCATCACGTTCCTCAGTAAGGGCTGGACCTTTGACCCATCCGCCCCCCACTCCCTCTTCAATAAATGGAGATGGTATCCCCCAAAATCCTACCTCCATCAACACAGGTGCTGGGCACTCGCTTACCTGCACTACCCTCATGTGGAAGCAATAAACCGGGAACTTTCTGCGAAGAATAAGGGTTGGCGGGGCAGTACGGAGGGAAAGCACTGGCTCACGCTGCAGTCGCACCTGCGCAGCTGTAGGCCCTTTGCCGCAATAGGTGGCAATATTGCTGCGGGTGTACAATCGCAGGCGGAGGGTGACATGACAGTCTCCGATCTCGTGGAGGAGTACATTTGTCGCGCACGGATAGTGAGTCGGCATCCGTTGAGATTCGATAAGGACCTCAATCGTTTTGTGGTCTCGATAGAGGCGATTTTGGAGTCATTGACGATCTTGAAGGGAGAAGTGAGGTATGTATCTGATCCTGGGCGGTATGACTTGCTGCAGGGGATGATGGAGCGGATTGTCGCGAATATTGAGTCGCTGAGGACGGCAAAATGAATGGGAGGATCAATACAGGTCGCCTGCTGCCCTGCCGTCGAGGTTGCAGATGGACATACTGCGTCTCCCATCACCAGACCGCAATCCTCGCACAAAGGATCCGGCAATGGAGCTCGGGAGAAGACTTATGAACCTAGTGAAGAAGCTTGCGGACAATCCTTTGTTGCTGGTCGAGTTTGACGCTGTCAAGGAGCAGGTAAGCGATGTGGAAGAACGCGATTCTGCCTCGTTTGCTCTTCTATTTGGGGCTGAAGTCGAGGAAGACATCGCCCGGTGTGCTTTGGAGAGAATCAAGTCAGAGAATTTGCGCCAAAACGAACAGTTGATGGCCATGATCCGCAGGTGGAAGGCGAGCAGCAGTGAGTGGGTGAGGCAGGTCGAATGGGGTTTTGATGGAACTTTCTGAGAACATGGTGCCCTGGAAATATAATTCCCGTTGTCAATATCAGCACCAAGAAAATGCTATCCACGATTCTATCGAGACAGTCTAAATTCTCAGCGGACCACGTAGAATCCATTCATGGTAATCTGTCGGTCTCGTATCTCTGCTGTAGGAGATCTCACTCCCAGCCAATGCAGTGGGACACGTTCAACGATCTTCTGGCCGCGGGCCCGCATGCTTTCAACTCCATCTTTGGTGCGGTCAATAACTCCAGCTTCTATTCGACTATCCGGTCCCCAAGCTGGATAATCCAGGACATTCTGGGCGTATGCCGTGTCGCAAGCATCCGCCAACATGGCCGCTTCAGCAGCGGCATTTCGGGCTTCCAGTAATTCCTCCTCACTCGTTCCGCGGGGTGGCGGTATATCAGGTCGAAGAAATCCAAGAACACGTACCTCAACGCGGGACTGAGCGGGGAGTTCAACCTCCTCCAGGAAGCGAACGGTGGTGACTCGTTTCATCACCAGGGACATGTTCACACGCGCCTGCTGAGAGGGATCTAGATTGCGAATGGCAAGAATGGCCTGATACCATTGAGAACCTGACCATTCGCTATTCTCTTTGGCGGATAGAAGTCGCGCCCAGCCGAAGAAGAAACCATGTAGCCGGTCCAAAATCAGATCGGGAACCTTACTGAGTCGCATCCGTTGCATGTCATAGACCCTTTCTCCTTGAATGGCTTCAGCTCGCGCTTTGAAGCTCATGGGGTATGGCGGACTCGGTCCTGTCTCTAAAGAGATCGCTTCCTGTTGACCGTGGGCCATTGCTGCCGCAGGGCCCTGATTACTGTTGTCATCGCTTGATCGCATGGACATTCCAATCCCGTAGGCTGTTTCAGCAGCAGTCTGTGTGACCCAGGAGGGCTTAAGAGGTTGAATCTTCGATTGTACGAGCGATGTGGCCGGGTTAATGACGGTCTGCGCCGCTGTCTGCGCGTATAGCCCCAGCACCATCGCACCCACCTCCAACGGGAGGGTAGCCAAACTAGCGCCACGAATCGAGCTCGGTTCAAGAGAGGTGGAAAGAATGCGAAACACTGGACTCGTACAAAGAACCTTCTTTTTCGGCCCCTGACAAAGTACAACCTGAAAGTACCCGTCGCCGGCCTCAGCAGGAATCCGTACGACGGCCGTCTCGCGCAGGCGATGTGTGTCGTGCACACGCGACGGAGCCTTTTTCAGAAACTTGGCAATGTCACGCTGCCATGCCCGCTCGTCGTTTGGCTCTACTTGGTCGGAGCGCAAGGCCAGAGTGGGTGTGATGTCCAGCCAGTCATCCGTCAGTCGGAATAGAGCCTTGGCGCGCATCCCCGTTTTTCCTGTCCAGCCCTTGTTCTGGAGCCACAAGGAACGGTCGGGAGGTAAGGGGGCATCAGAAAAGATAGAGATCGTGACGGATGTAGTGCTGCCGCGATAGAAGACCACGCCGTGTGAGTGGCGTAATATGGTAAAATGCTTATTGGACTCTGCCGGACGGCTGATGAGTCCACCCAGGAAATGTCGGGCTTCACCAAAGGCTTTTTGCACAGTCACTGAAGCGGACGACTGAGTGGTCCTGGATTCCGATGGAGGAATCATGTCCGTAGCAGCGCGCTGGACTGAGGCGGAAGTCCAATCATTGCTGTTGAAGTTCCTCTCGCAGCGACCAGAATAGGGGTCAGCAATCGTGATAGCGGATGCTTTGGACCTCAATGGTGGGCGCGGAAGCATTGGAGGCAAAATATCCGAAGACGATACCGTCGTTATAGCCCTGACAGTCGGACTGGGCGGTTGTGATGAACCTCTGTCACCATCATTCCTATAGCTTTGATGGAGATGGGGATTGGAGACTGGTTTTCGTCGAATCCGGAACTGAGGAGGATCCGGTGGATGGAGAAATAATTCATCGGCGGGAGTCATGATGCTAAAGTATAACAGAGATGTAGTAGCTAATTTCCATATAGAAGCACAATCATGTTGATCGATCGATGAATGTTTGGATCCTGTAGTCCTGTTAAATGATTTGACGGAGGAAGAACAAAGTGGATGATGCGGATCGGACGAGGATAAGTATTGCTTACTAAGCTTATGTTGTGTGCATAACTCCAAGGTATTTATCCATGACCATCCGGCAATGCTTGCAAGACATTTCTGAAATATAGCGTAAATTCAGTTGATCAGGAACAAATTAATACATTTAGAATTGCTGACGCTAGATCTCATGGTCTTCCCCCCGGCATTTTCTACCATCCATTCAGGCAAGACCCTTACCAAGTTTGAGTAGACGGCAAATTCTTTTTCACGGGCAACTCTGGAGCGGTGTTATTGAATTATATGACCGCTTGCCCGATTTGGAAGTGATTTGATTTCTCCACACCGCTACTTGGCCATAATATTCGGCGATATTCGCTTCGATTAAGCCGAAATCCGGCTCTTAATCAAAGGCATAAATAGTAGCTAGATAGTCATTCGTTTAGAAGAATCAGACCTTCATTGATTTTCCATTGGCCATAGAAATCGCTAGTGATTCGTGAATCGATACAGTATTATTCTTTTCAACAGTTATGAGCCCGGCCTGCCCTTAAGAGACGCACGGATCGACTGCTGCTATCGTTCTTCCAAGGCCCGCAGATTGGAGAGCACTATCTCAAAGCATTGGCGAGATATCTCATTGGAATCGACTTGCCTGATTCGGAAGAATTGAAGATATATCGACACCGCCGTCACCCCTGAAGCTGAAATGGACTACTATACGGAGCCAATCAAATCCACCACGAAGGTCTCCATCATGCTAGAGAAGCCCGATGATTGGTGGATATGGGACTCCCATATAATCGGCCTAGCTCGAACCCGTGGAGTGCTCGATATACTCCAGGGAGAGAGGCCTTACCCCGTTCCGCCAATTCGACCGATTCATCCAACGATTTTAGCCAATCAGCAGGCGAGATCGGCCCCTGCGGAATCCCAGTCGGCCTCAGAGAGGCCCCAAGCGATGGAAGTGAGCCAATCAGATGGCTCATCGACTGCTGCAGCCGCCCTGGCTCCAGCAAAACCAACCGATATCGAATTGGCGATATATACCGAAGAATTGGCGATCTATAAGGAAGATAAAGAGCAATATCGACTAGATCATCAAGGCCTCGCGGCTATCTGGACTACCATGGAGCAAACGGTAGCCAGAGAGCATCTCCAGCGGCTAACCAGCCAATCAGACAACGAGGTTGAGCGATATCGAAAGCTCAAAGCCGACCTGAAGCCTTCGGTAGAAACGCGAATGAATCAAATCGAAGAGAAATATCAAAAGCTTTGCCGCTAAGCCAGCCAATCAGAACGTATCAAGCTGGCTAAGCGAGTGGGAGAAGGTGCTGAGCGTGTGTACCGAACTGAATATGACGCAATATACTGGATATATGGGCACCAGGACCTTTCTCATAACTGTTGAAAAGAATAATACTGTATCGATTTAGGAATCACTAGCGATTTCTATGGCCAATGGAAAATCAATGAAGGTCTGATTCTTCTAAACGAATGACTATCTAGCTACTATTTATGCCTTTGATTAAGAGCCGGATTTCGGCTTAATCGAAGCGAATATCGCCGAATATTATGGCCAAGTAGCGGTGTGGAGAAATCAAATCACTTCCAAATCGGGCAAGCGGTCATATAATTCAATAGGTGTGATCTTCCTTGATGTTTGTAGTCTCGGGATTTGTGGATATTGAGCTGTTCAGCTGGTCTATACGGAGTTCAATCTGTTTAGCAAGCGGATGCTCCCTGGTCAGACGAGTCTCGGTGTGCTCAAAGGCGACCCGATAGGCGTCCAAGGCCTCCCGAACTTGGTTCTTCTTTTCGTATAGTTGACCAAGTTTCCACATTCCGAAAATATAGTCGAAGTGTTCCGAGCCGCGGGTTACTTTTACTTTCTGGAGCACGCTCAGGGAGAGTCTCTCGGCCTCCTCCAGGCGACCTTGCCGTGCATACACTCGTGCGAGCTCTCCGCATCCCATAAGGACCCCGAGATGATCTTCACTGAGACTGCGCTTGCCTGCCGCGATTCCATCCTCCAACATTCTTTCTGCTTGGTCGAGTAGCCCTAGCTCTGTGTATATCTTTGAAAGATAGCAAAGCGCCCATAAGGTGTATGGATGCTCTTTGCCGAGCTTCTTTTGACGCAATTTATACACCCGGCTCATCATTTCTTTTGCCTGTTCGAGCTCCCCTAGATCCAATAGAGCCATAGCCAAGTTGCTCATAGTTGTCAGGGTATCTATGTCGTCTTCCTCAGCATCTCTTTGCCGAACTCTTAATACCCGTTCGTGCATGGCTCTACTTTCTTCGTATCGTTGCCAGGATCCCAACGTCACCCCAAGATTGTCCATCACAACCAATGTATCTCTGTCTTCAGAACCCAGCGTGTCAATCATCTTTTCGGTAGTTTTCTCCAGCAGCTGTAAAGATTCAAGATACTGGCCATTCAACCACAACGATTGACCCAATGTTGCCATAGCTTTCAAGGTATCACGGTGAGAGCTGCCGAGCCATTTTTGTCGGACTTCGACGACCCGTTTCTGTAATGCGATGCCCTGTTCCAGTTTTCCAAGGCCCCACAAGACGTTGGCTAAGCCCATCATCGCCATTTGCGTTCTTGGGTTGTCGTATCCCAAAGTCTGTACCGTCAGGTCCTTAACCATTGTGATATAGCGAGCAGCGTCTGCGAAGCGGCCGCACAAAGCGTATACATAGCCACATCTTGCAGCCGTCTCTGCTTTGTCCTTCAAATTGAGAAAGTGTGTCGCCATGATTAGTTTCGCTACCTGAATTCCAAGACGTCCAAACGGAATACTGAACCTCTCAATCTCCACCGGACATGCGGCAAGACATTCGTCAAGGTGAGGCAAAATGTCTTTTCCAAGATCTGTGTCTAGTCCTTTGTGGTCATCCGATGGTAGCAAAATCGCCTCAACCAGGGTATTTAAAGCGAGCAGGGCCCAGATTTTTCTTTCCTTTGGATCAATGCGATCCCTGGCCCAGGCATGTATGAGGGGGTGCAACCGGAAGCTTTTGAGGTCTTCGTCATAGCCGATGAGGGAGAGGGTGTATAGCTCACACAGAACTACTCTTAAATAATAGATGTCTGTATCCTCACTGGCTCGTTTGAGAAAATGAGGAAATGGGCGGGGAGCTTGGAGACGACTGATCAATGAGGATGGGGCTTGGGCTGTTCGCCGGTTTCTCATAGCACTTTCAAATATCTCAATACGAATGTTGTCGAAGTGGAAAAAACTGACAATATTGAGAATCTCGATAGCATCCTGGCTCGTGCTAGTCTGCTTCTTATCCAGATGTTCGAATGAAAGGTCGAAGGCGGAGTAAATATCTTCTCTGGCACTGCTGGAGGCAATAGAAGCTTTTTGTTTGCGCTTCTTTCGGTAGTACTGATAAAAAGCGAGATAGTCTTCTAGGTTGCAAAGTTTGCGAGATATTGCAGACCCGGCCTGCTTTATGGCGAGTGCCAAATATCCCAAGATCTTAGCAATCTCCTTGCCTTTCGTCTCTGTCGACTTATCCCATGGGGGCGAGATTTCTGCCGAATTCAGGAGTAGATAGAGTGCTTCTTCCTCTCCAAGCTTTCCAAGCTCTATGCTCCCTACATTCCCATACCGTTGAATCTCCCGGTTCCTCGTAGTCACGAGAATGTGCCCTCGATCTCCGGGAGGAAACAAGCTGGGAAGGTGAAGCTCAGGGCTATCTGCGTTATCAATGATAAGCAACCATGGCTCGCGAGCTTGTGAGAGGTAATGTTTCCCAGCGCTTTCCGTGCTTGCCAAACCCCCTATCTTGCCGATTTCGGCATAGGATTTGGCTGCAAGGGCCTCGGATGTCGCGTCAATTGTAAAGATGCCCCAGTAACTACATACAAAGTCACTCGAATGGAAAGACGGAGATAGGGATTTATGGGACAGTCGCCTACCTTTCACGGTTGTCAGAAGCGAAATTTGTGCACAGCTGACTTTTCCCCGAGCCTGCTATGCCATGTACGATAAGGCGCCTCTGGCTCTGTCTGATGAACTCGGTTTCTGGCAGAAGAAGTGCCTGTCGAATCTGTTCCCTGATCTCTTTCCTCCCGATGTAGTTTACAGAAGGAAGCAAGGGCGTATAAAGGTGCTGATTTCGCGCTTCCTGCTTGGAAATGTTCTTTATAACATGGTCTGCGAGCTTGTCGGGCAGGCTGAAGCGAAAACCAGCCATTTCATGGGCTTCATTAAGCCTAGCTCGAGCCAGTGCATCCCTGGCCTTCTTCCAGCGATCATTAATCACACCGGGGGCCTTCAAGCAGTACCTTTTCAGCGTCGCAAGCACCGTAGAGTAAGATGGACTCCATTCTAACAACTTCACCATTCTTGAGTGAGTTGCGCCGACAATTGCACATTTTGGGCTCTCGTAGATAGCCGGAGCGGCGGAGGCCGGTTCAACAAGGAAATCATGATAGCCTCCAAAATCGGTCGGCATACCTTCCCAGAAAAAGGTAGTATAGAACTTTTTCATCAAAGGGGCAAATTGATCAGTAATGGATTCCAGGCTCTGGAGCTTCTTCGGGGGTGACGATTGTGAATACCCAGGTCGTTGAGCGCGGCCATCTCCGACCCCTGAGGATTCTAGAACAAGCCAGTTGGCCAAGTTAATATTGATATGCGGCGTTCCAAAGAACAAGATTGCAAACGTCGAAATAAAAATCTCATTCAGATGAGCGACCAGGGGAGACGTTGAACTTGCAGAGTGGGCAAGTGCTTTCTTGACAATTACACCTCCTAGTCCATGGCAGACGAAGATTATCGGCCGGGTTCGACAGACCCCCAAGCTTCTGTCTGCTTCAAGATCCGCAACTAAGGTCGTCGCAAGGCTTCGGATTTTATCTACAAAGCCGGGCCCGTCAAAACGGCTGGGGGAGGATTCGTATCCGAAGGACAGAACTCGTGCTTGGGGTATGTGCTTCGGGATCAAGTCTTTTAGCCAGAGCGTCCCAGTCTCGGGAGCACTCCACGCGGTTATTGAGTCTTCATTCAATCCGTGGACGGCGACGATACTAGCAACAAGATTGTTAGCTGATTTGGCCAGGCCAAAGGCTGGTATCGCCTGTTCAAGAGAAGCCGATACTCGACCGCATTCTTCCATTCAGCTTCCGAGTTGGTTTCGTGGTCTGGGCTCAGTTCATGCAGGTGAAGGATCCCCAAGGACACAAGGGTCATTTTGCCATGAAATCAGAGCCATATGAACTCTGGAGGGATAGGAAAACAAGCAACAGGTATACATGGAGTCATGGACTGTCATATTACAATCATACATCCCAGGCCACATGGATGTGTCGTGTGAGAACATGTCTTAGGCTTCCATGGGAATTCCACTAATGCAATGCTATCGGGTTGCAGACTTGCAGTTTAGCAAGGTCTCAGAAAAGTTTGACAAGGTCTTGGGATATGTAGGGTCAATTTGAGACCTTGATGAGGCTTTAAGCCACTACGCAAATATAGTAAGGTGAAGAACCCAATAAGGTCTAAAGTCTTAACTATACTCTTCATCGGCTATCGAATTTACCACCTCAAGATTAGGGCCGTTAGGGTGATTAGGGAGTAGAGAGATAGAATTGAGGAATCTTTCCTTTTATTTTCATATATCTTTTTTATAATATCATAGAGAAGTAGAGAAGCTCGTTAAGGTCTTAAAACATATCCCCCCCATGTTAGCTACTAAGAGCCACCAGAGATGCAGCCTGCAGGTTCCCCTTTTTCCAGCTAGCTGGTCCAGGTAAAAGACAGAATGACAAATACCGTACCTTACACAGACAAACAACACATGAAAAAGTGGGTACGCCCTCTAGCTAATCAGAAGCTGAGGCTTTTTGTATCCAATCAATCAGAATATCTAAATTCCCTACTCATCTTGACCGTCATGCAGAGCAGGTACGGTATTACCCTGCTATTTTGACTGTCGCTTTGAATACCACCCCCCTCATGACTGATATGGACCTATCCCTTTGTCCATCCTGTTGTTAGTTACTCTTTGGTGTGAAGTGCAGCGCTTATCCATACACATGTAATCCCAGGCCATTTAAAGGCATAAAGAGCCCATAGGTACCTCCAGTGTCTCCGACCTGCGGCAGTTCATGGTCAATCTTTTAAAAAAAAAACCAACAAAAAAATGGCTTTAGAAACTGTTGTTTACTGCTTGATCTTGGTGGTCATTGGGCATGCATTTTATCACCTTGTAATAGCACGATATAGATATTTCCAGGCAAGTAGGCCAGAGATGAACAGGCTTTTTGGATAATTCACCTGACAGTCAACAGGACAATGCATTGGGACATCAACACGGCTGTGAGCTTCCTCCAGAGCTGACGAAGAAATGGCCCCTGGGCCTCGATCGGATCAAGGAACTGTGGACGTCAAATGCAGAGGGTCATCTCCTCGCGTTCTTGTGCTCTGTAGCAGAGAAGTATGAGCCCGGCAACAGCATCACTCAATACTTTTTATTCGGACCGAGAGCCTTTCACATTTTGCAGCCAGAGAATGTGGAGGCGATTCTTTCTACCAATTTCAAAGGTGCGCATGGCTACCTGCATCAATTCTACCTTTCTCACGCCATTTAGACTATGGCTTTGGTGCAAGAGCAGCTATATTTGCTCCACTTCTGGGCAACGGCATTTTCACTCAAGAAGGTCCTGCCTGGAGACATTCTCGAGATCTTTTACGCAAACAGTTTTCTCGAGTCCAGAATCGCAATCTCGAACATTTCCACGAGCATGTTGACAATATGGTAGCTCGCCTACCATTGGATGGAGTCGTCGATCTTCAACCACTATTCTTTAACCTGACCCTTGACATAGCTACAGCGCTTCTATTCGGAAGATCAGTGTACAGCTTAAAGGCCGGTATTGATCAAGACGCCGACAATAGGCTCTTTGCCGAGAGCTTTAATATCGCCCAGGAAGGCCTAGCAAAGCGATTCCGCATCGCACCCTGGCACTTCCTCTACAACCCTCCAGGATTTCGAAAAGCTTGTGGCGATGTTCACCGATTTGTCGAACAGTACATCGATCAGTTGGACTTGGAAAATAGCGAGGACCTGGATGATAAAACATATGGCTTTATCAAGCGGGTAGCACAGGAGTCTGCCAGCCAACAGCATCTTCGCGATCAACTACTCAATGTGCTTCTGGCAGGAAGGGATACCACAGCCTGTTGCCTTTCGTGGACATTGTATGTGGCGATAGTCGAGGAAATTTTACTGAGCTGTCATTAACTGTGAGTGAACAGTCGGTTACTTGTTCGCCATGAGCAAGTAATGATTCGCCTGCGAGAGGAGATAGCCTCGGTGATGGGGGACTCTGCGCATCCAACGAAGGAGCAAATCAGAAAGATGCCATATCTCTCCTGCGTCATCAAAGAAAGTAAGTATCCCTTCCCTTCAATTTCTGTCTCCTGTGACTAAGGAAGTGAGGTCTTCGTCTTTACCCCCCCGTTCCACTGAATAACCGTGAAGCCATTCGGACAACGATCCTACCTACTGGCGGTGGCCCTGATGCAGATCGTCCCATACTAGTTAGGAAAGGGGAGCTTGTTGTCTTTTCTCAATATGTGAATTCACGCAAAAAGAATATCTATGGTCCTGACGCAGACTGCTTCCGTCCGGAGAGATGGGAAACTGGCGAGTTGGATCATATTGGGTGGGCATATTTTCCCTTCAACGGAGGCCCGCGGCAGTGCCTTGGGGAGGATTTCGCCCTGATGGAAGTTTCATACACGGTTGTGAGGCTATTGCAGACCTTTTCATCCATCATCCTGCCAAAGGGGGAGCCGATCGAGCCTGTTGGGAGCGAAAGACAGCGCCTCACTCTCGTCCTTTCAAGTGCCGATGGTTGTAGGGTGCAAATCCATTCCTACTAACACGGTGCTGCCTTAGCAAGAACATCTCGCTAGGAGATATTCTTATGGGTCAAGCAGCACATTAATGATTCCGCAGCAAATTGTATCTCTTGCATTGTTAATTACGACGCTGTATAGTACATGTTGGGAAGTCATATCTTTGTAGACATCTCGACACAATCTCTACTGTTCAATGGCTTGTTTTTCTTCCAATGATATTCATTTGCTTCCAGGATGTTTGCCCTGGGATGGAACAAGTCCAAGAGACGGTGATACCTGAAATGATCTTTTGTTTTTGCTCTACTGCAGATAGCCGGGAGGAGAACAGTCAATCCGCTTATTTGGTACATGACTTACCCCGTCTCCCTCCTTCCCTTATTAAATCTAAGGGCGTCATGCTAGTGATGCACCGGCCCACCCCGTACCGCCCCGTCGGGCGTGTTTCGTACCAGTTGAAGCACTCTGATTGTCTCATCCCCTGACTCCTGACCACCTAGCTACTTCGTTTTGCCGGGCAACTTGGCGGTTTCGGGTCATGCGAAGAGTACCTGAGCCGCTGATGGTCTAGATTCAATCCACTCTGCGCTGTGGACTGGTGTTTCCATTATCTTGCATATAATTCGCAATATGGAGACAAAGAGGGAATGCTGGATGATCTCGCACTTGTCAAGCAGCCAACAGATACAGTTTCTTCCCAACGTAGAGATAATACAAGCCACATACCAAGTGAGATCGCAAAGTAGACATATGCTACGTAGATGTGCGGAGACGTTCTAAAAGAATGCCAGGCTTTGGGGCGCGCCGCTAATATTCTTCTATTTCACTACTACGCTCACACGGAACTATAGTTGATTGGTCCCCCGTATTTGTAAGGAGAGCATCGCGTGCCCCTCGTAAACGAGGGAGATCAATGGTTCTCCTAAAATCGAAGTGCGTATTTCCGGGCCGGATGCTTCTCAGAAGATCCGTGGCCTGATACACTTGGCTTTCGTGAAGTACGGTCAACGAACTTTCGTGTCTGGTACGAATGGCTTCGGGTGCCTCCCGAGAATAGCGACGGATGGCGGAAATCGCAGTTCGGAAGCCTTGCAGGCTGGGATGATTGAACTTGCACATTCCCCTGTGATCTGCAGCAATGCCGCATCTTTCAGTATTATCGAGTATCGGCGCGGCACTCGCTTCCTCCACGATCAGATCCTTGGTATACTTTAGATCCGTCTCCTCCTCTTCCCAGAAGAAATAGATGCGAAACTCCGCCATGAGAGGTGCAAACTGGTCGGTAATATTCTGAAGGATTTCGGATTGCTCCTCAAGCGCTTTTACAAGACGGGTCTCAAAGTTTGCGGCTTTCTTTGGTATTGCAAGCTGAGCAATTTTCTGAAGATTTGCAAGCAGTCGAGCTTTGCTTGACCCGTGGTGTGGTGTTCCGAAAAAGAGAATCCCGTAAGTGCTGGTATAGATCGATTGAATGTGAGCGGACCTGGGGCTCTTTCGGCTGGCGGAATAAGATAGGGCCTGCAACTCAGTTTGTTAGCCGTAAGCGGAGGACAGTCATTCGGAGTATGACTAGTTCAGCGTACTCTCTTGACTATAACTCCCCCAAGAAAGTGGCATATGAAAATTATGGGTCTCGAAGTTGCCTCCCCCAACTAGCGACGGTGTACCATGAGTCAAAAGTCAAGCAAACGACCCTAGCCGAAAGAATAAGGAACCCACCTCTCGATCAGCTTCTAGGTTAGATACAAGAGTCTGAGCATGTCCCAGAATTCCGTTTGCACTTGTTGGGCCCGTGATGGACGACACGTTCGCGTTATAGCCCCAGGACAGGACCCGTGCCTTCGGAACATACTTTGGCAAGAAGTCTGGGTGACTTAGCCAGCATATGTTCTCTGGTCGAGCTGTCCACGTCTCGACGGCATGGCCGTTTAGCCCGTGGACCGCAACAATACTTTGTGACGAGAATTGTCAGCTTTATCGCGCCGGTAGAAAGGAGGAGTATTATTACTTACTCTACCTCTGCCGTTCCATCACTTGGGCAGTAAAGCTGCTGAATCCCAAGCATTCTCCGTGACATGTCCATAGCTGCTTATTCTCCTGGGGATACCCGGAACAATAAGGTAGTATGCTTATCTGTTCATGGGGGGAGTTCACGCCACTTAAATCACCTTCATTGTGGATCGGGTGCTGTAACCAGGATCCTCCAGGGACACAGTCAGATGGTGCACTACACCTGCGAGTGCTTACAGATTTGCTCGCACAAGCATGTTTTCTATGGGGTCACATTTCTTTGATTGATAATATGCAAATATCTTCATTAGCGGATGTGATGATCCGAAACCTCATGGTTTATATCCAACCATACCTGGAAGTATTTCGCCGCAAGGCTGAAATCGCTGCACCACGGAGTAACTTAGAGACAGGATTTGCATTACGGCCCGCAAGCACTTATGTATTTGCGTCCATGTGCTAATAATAGGTAAGAGGATAGGGAAATTTGTCTTACACTGTAAATATCAGCGCGCCAGCTGAACCACAATCTTGATAGCAACCCGGTGATTAACCGCGAAGTGACATATGATGATATGTATGATATGTTCCATAGCCCACAATAATGATGGAACACATAGGAGGTGGGCCATTGAAGTGAAAGAGACGCTCATAGCTACATGTGAGCTGGTGTGATGGAGCTTTCATCTGACCAGCAAGACCTTGGCATACTCCGACCAGAAAATCCCCGATTTCTAATGTAAGACGAGACTGCATCCAAGGACAGCTAGACATATAGTAATAGTAGTCATTTCCAGCGCGGCCTGGGATAGGTAGAATAGCGAGGATTTCCTTGCTTAGATTTCACAAGCCTAGATCTTAGTATGCCTGATGTCACTCAGTCTGGCTGGGTATCTTATCCATAGTGTTATATTCTTTGACTAAAACCCGTAGCTCTGGGACATAGATTCCTCAGCCAAAATTCCAGTTCCAGCTCATGATGTATCCAGCAATACTTTCATCTCATATAGATTGTCAAGTCCCCGAGACAATCGTCCATGTCAACAACTGGAGCCTGTACGTAATGGCTGACCATCTTGCGTACGCGTGAGGAATCCGGATCGGTGGTGTAGGGGCTAGAGCTGTCAGTGTTCGTGCGTTCGGCAGAAGTGCGGTTTTACATACCAGACCCAGGTTACCTGACCATTCCTCACACGCTGCTCCCACTTTGCGACGTCTGGCTCGGAAGGTCTGACGGTATTCCAAATCATCGCCGTGGGCCACTGAACATCGGCAATGATCTGCTTCACCGGCACGTTGGGGCTGACGCAAAAGACGAGAGTGGATTCGTCGACTGCAAGAAACCCCTTCGGATCGTCCAGCGGGGTGATGTCGATGCTTCTAAGCAGTGCGATGTCGACCTCGTCGTATGCAGGATCCTGCGCAAAACATCTGATTTCCTCGTTCCCGTTGACTTGTCTTGCCTTCAGTGCTTGCACCATGGTTCCGACGGCAGCGTGCTGGGTGTGGGACCGTGCAGCACTGCGGGTGTTCAAGCGGCCCAGGGTGCCCAGTCCGAAGCAGACGATCTTGTTGATTGGACTGGAAAGACTCAGAGTGGTCAGTTGCTTCTGCAGAGCCTCGCAGGCCTCGCTAGTCTGCCACACTTCGCGCTGATTGTTGAATGCCTTGCGTACTTCATGCAGAGGATTCTCGGGTTTCTTGTCGTTTTTGGTGTAGCAGATCGCAACGGGAGGCTGGTCACGAAGGATCTCATCTGGCATGAAAGGGTTGACGGTGGTCATAGCTTGGATGCTACAGTAGGAGATGCGGTACGAGTTCCTGGACTCTGTCAGTTATGCTTTACCTTAGGACGTCAGCAGATCTTACGCCCAATCTGCACACCAGGCTGGGACCTTGAGGCTATGCTTCTGAGGAACGCCATCCAGATCTGCAATGTGCACTTCATCACGTCCCTGATCGATCTGACGACTGAGGTCTTGAAGAACGTCGCGAGGAAAGAGAGGTTGTCCCAGGGCATACACCTTGAGAATATGGCGAATCTTCTCTTCTGCAGTGATCCACTGTTCTTCCTCCATTGCCATAGTGCTGGTTAAAGAGGACATAGTGGGAGGAGGAAGAGAAATTCTCTACGCCAGGTGTGTTTACTAGTTGAGAGGGCGGTGGGAGATGATCACTCTTGACCGTGAATATTCTTAGTCTTCAGTCACTGTCCTGAAGTACAAGCGAGAGTAGTTGGTCTGGCTGGCTGAGACTCACTTAAATACCAAAGCGTTCATTCACAAAGGTATGGTGTGGAAGCTTTATCTCCTGTAGCTCAAAAATAGCCATATTCCTTAATGTTGGATCGATCCGAATCACCCTCCATCAGATGTTTGCTCCTCACTCTTTTCTTACTATCTGGGCTACACAAGACCCATCACTCGCATGGGCCTCACCGCCATCGTGGACTCATCATCCAGGCTGTGTACTCTCGTTCCAACAGGCTAATCGTGTCACAGCAGCCTCATTGGTCCGGGATGGGAAGACCATCCTATTAATATCCAAAACTGTGTCATTTACCTGGCAGAAAACCAACTAAACTACTATATTGGGTATTATTAGGGATATTTTTATCCCAATAAGCCAACTGTTGGTTGGTTTCATGCAAATTAACAGTGATTTCTGTCGATCGTCCTTTTGCGGATGCACGCTAATCCTTCATGCATGTCATATCCAGACTTGCCAAAGCCTCCATAGACACCGACGCTTCCAACAAATCCTCCTCATCCGATTGGGCTTATCTTTCATCTATTAGGGGCCCAAAATCAAGCCCTCTTCCCATCTCGTCAGCCAGGAAAATAGAAGCTGGACCATCCTCCGACGTGGCGACCCGATGAGTTGGCAGCGAACATGTGGTGCAGTACCTCGGCGATTTTGGCTACACGCCAACGCACTTTGAGTTCATTGGCCTTGTCAATCAATTCGTCCCCTGCATATGACACACCGAGCCATTTGCTGATGAATGTAGGGCTGGGTGACTGTAGCGTTGGACGTGTCTTCATCTACGCGTGCTTCGTAGTATGTGTGTGCCTTGTCATCGCCCCGGAAACGCTTCATTGTCAAGTTGCTGGGTCTCGCTCACTTGGGTGTCGATAGGGTCTATAGTACGGTTAGAAGATAACGCTCAGGACTGCTCATGAGTCGATTCCGTACTACGGGTCTCTACTTACAATGGGCAACCTTTGTGCGAAGTGTGCCTGCATTACGTCCCAACAACGGCAGAGATTCCGCCCCATGTCTCGCTGCATCGGATTCCGAGCTTATCCAAGCGTCTGGGAACTAGTACCAATTAGATATACTCCAAAATCGCAGCATGTTATAGATTGCAAGTGGATGCGGCCTACCCAGTCGAAGTGGTCACTCTCTTAGGGTGATGTGACCTCGCTACTACGCTACTACCTATGGATTACATTGAGGTATACAGAGCCCGCGTTGCTAGTTTAAAAATAGCGCATCTAGATTGAAGGTACACAATGATCCCTACATTCCTCCCAGGATTCTAGAAGACGCCGCGCGTGGTAGCCGCAGAGCATATATCTGGCTTGGTAGACCAGAATCATATCCCAGGCAATAGCGACAAGTGACAGTTGTGAACGGTATTCTCAAGATTGAAATATGGTTTAGAGAGTTGTCTGAGACCCATCATTGTGGCCGTTCAACCTGTAACTGTAACCAAGCTTGATGTTTAGATGAGCATCAGGTGGGAAGAGACTGTGCCATTTGTCATGTTTTCTGGCTGTCGCTCTCCTCCACTCACCTTTATTTCAAGTCCGATATACCGGCCTTGGTCCACCAAAAGTCACACTCTCTTCGACTCCATCTGTCCTCCACGAACTGCGCCGCAACACCCGTACCACTACCCCCAGCACGTTCATCATTCCCTTCTCCAAAGACCATAATCTTGCGTCCAGATGTCACTGAGGCATTGTAAGGCTTCCACACTGTGCGATTTTCATACTTTCCCCCCACCGCATTCGGATCCCCAGCCACAATAAACGAAGTGATGTACGCATGAAACGTCCCCGCGATCTCGTCCTGACTGCTCGAGATACCTCGCACCTCCGGATTAAACGTCTCATACTCCATCTGATCACCGTGGTTCGCGCCCCCCTGAACCGTCTTAGTCAGCGCCCACCGATACAGAAACACGGGCTCCTCCTGTCCCGCCGAGGCGAGAGTCGCGGTCTGCCTCACCGGACAGGCATACGCGTAATGACCGTACGCGGCTTCAACGCGCTTATACTGCGGTCCGACAGGTATGCTTCTAGTTTCGCGATATGGGGAGGACGGGTCCACCGCGGGGTCTGGGTAGAGCTCGTCGATGGTCCTGATATCTTTGTCCGAGTAGGCGGGGAGCAAGGTGCGGAAGAAGCTTGTGAATTCGGAGGACTGCGACATCGCGGACGGGACGTAGTATGTTCCTTCGTTTGTGTTGAAGCCAGTCAGGATAGGCATTTTGTTCCATTTCCCCGAGTGCCAGGCGTCGATTGGGCGGGTCTTGACCAGCTCGCCATCGATGACGGGTTGGAAAGCCCAGCGGATGGAGGGGTTATATCGGTCGAAGACGGTGAAAGAGGCGTTGATAATGGCTGAGGATGGTTGGCGCCGCAAGCAGTTTATTATCTCTGATTGTGGTCTATCGGTGCAGCCGGCTTCTGTAATGAACTCTTGGAACTGGGTTTCGTGTATTTGGGCGTTGTACGGGTGCACGGTGCGGGAGGTGGCTGCGCCAGACTCGAGAACGGCTCGGTGGAAGAGAGAGGTGCCGAGGTCGTAGTTCATAATATGGTGTGCGATCTACGATTCATATCAGTGTTGGTCTTCAATTATCTCCTTAGGCACCATACCGAGTGTGCTCCTGCGGACAGGCCGATGAGCGTCACTTGCGAGGGGTCACCTCCAAACGCTTTGATATTCTCCTGGACCCATTTAAAAGCAAGGATTTGGTCATGCAGCCCGAGATTGAGAATTCCCTCCTTTGCTGACACGGTCGAAGGAAGGAATCCTAGCGCGCCGATGCTAGAAATGATTCCCTCAGCTGAGTCCATTGATCGACCATTTCACGACGACTCACCGATAGTTGAAGCTTACTGCAACAAATGGTTTCTTGGACCATCCCACCATGGATGCAGTGTTATGCATTGAAGCTGTTCCAGTCAGACTTGCCCATGTTTGTTTGCGGGTTCCTCACCTGTGCCACGGTTATATGCTCCGCCATGCACGTACACTGCAACTGGTAGTTTGCCTTTTGCGCCATGAGGACGAAACATGTTCACCGTCAGGCAATCCTCCAAAGGGGTGGCTTCACCAGGAACTTTCAATAGTTGTTTACCAGGGCATCTGCTTGTTCAGCATCCATACTGGATTCGATAATGATAGATCGCTCACCGTGGCCCGAACCGACTCGCGTCAATGGTATCGTTCGAAGAGCCCACTGCTACGGCTCTGCGGAATCTCCTGTCTCCAGTGGGAGGTAGAGCATAAGGGATTCCTCGGAATGCATCAACTGGTTGTCGCAAAGAGTCGGACAATCTCGTTCCTACGACGGTACCTTGGCGAAGTTGGACGGTTGGTCGAGTAATGAGCTTATCAAGTACAGCGTTCGGGAGCCATGCTAGAACTCGGCTCTGTATTGAGAAAGGTACATATCCCTGCTGTAGGATGAAGAGCAGGATGATAGGAAAGGCAGCCAGAAGTATGAGTCTGTGAGAGCGAAACATGTTGTCGGCAGTCCACCTTCAGAATTCAGAGGCAGATGGTCACTTCAAGATCACCTCTTATCAACTCACCAGCGCGACTGTTACAATATCCCTGTCGCCCTGTCCCTCTCCACTTCCCCGCTCTGATGCTGATAGTGAGGCCCATGATGCTCGGCTCCTCGCTGGAATATGCCTCCACTGTGGAACTACCCCACACGGCTTATCTTTGACAGCATTAGTAACGTCTCCAACAGCGGTCATGATACGAGGCCGATCAGTGGGATGATCACTCCTTCCTTTCAAGATTTTGATGCCATAGATAAAGTTGCGGACAACGTCCGTCTTTGTCAACGAGCAAGTCTTTTTCATTATGCTCATTGGTGATTGCTGCCATATCGGTATCAGGCGGCCTATGGCCGACTAGATTTCCATTTGGAGTATCAATATGCTGAAGCTGATAGGGTTACCACTGATCCTTCTGACAGGGGGCTCTGGAGCTTAGAGACAGGCGTATCATGCAGTCAACCCCTGTACTCCGAAGCGGGGTTACTTGATATAAGTACGATGGCAGAAACAGCGGACAGCTACCAAGACTCAGGACGCGTGTCGGAGTATATCAGATTCTTACTTCATCAAAATGCAGCGCGTGGAGAAGAAACCTGACGACGGCAAGACCGACGCCGTCCTCGCAACCGTCTCTGGCAAGGAAGATGACATTGAGAATGGTCACATTTCTTCGCTGGACGAGGCTGAACTTTTTCTGCGAGAGCATGGCATTTCACACTCCCAGCTTCAGGAGATGCTCGATGACCCCGCCAAATCTCGGAGGATTAGAAGGCGAGTTGATTTGATTCTTCTGCCTCTTCTCTGTGGTACATATGCTTTACAATATATCGATAAGCAGGTGAGTTTTCCGTGCACCATCCGAAGAGACTACTCACAAAATGGTATAGGCTCTCGGCTACAGTGCAGTCTTTGATCTTTTTAAAGATGCCCACATCAACAGTGATGAGTATAGCTGGCTCGCCAGTATTTTTTACTTTGGTATTCTCCTCGCCCTCAGCGGTCACCCCCAGGCTGACGAGACAGGTTATCTCTTCTTGGAGTATCCTGCGAATTTGATTGCTCAGCGACTCCCCGTCGGAACGGTCATCTCATGCTTTGTGTAGGCTTGCTATATGCATGTCAATTATGTATTTGGTGCGCTGACATTTGCTAGCATCGCCTGGGGAGCCATTCTCATGGTAACGGCCAGCTGCAACAATTTCACCGGCATGGCGATCTGCCGCTTTCTCCTCGGTTGCTTCGAAGGTATTATAATTACAAAACTGGCCTGCAATAGCTAACGTCTTAGCCCCGATTACCCCCTGCTTTATGATGATTGTTGCCATGTGGTATCTGCGGCAGGAACAGCCCTTCCGAGCTGGATGTTTCTACTGCTGCAATGGCATTGGATCAATGGTGCGCTGGTATCCGTGGATCTTTCATAGCATGTCTGACAGTCTCAAGCTCGGTGGCCTGATAAGCTTCGCTATTGGCCAGCTAAATGGGTTTCCTGTCTGGCGAGCAGTATTTCTCATCTGCGGCGGCGTAACGGTGCTCTGGGGAGGTATTTTGTTGCTCTTCCTTCCAAACAGCATTCTCTCCGCGAAGCGATTCACAATCGAGGAGAAAATCCTACTTATTGGAAGAGGGAAACAGAACCAGACGGTGTGCCACTGGCCTCAGTGTCAATGTACAGAATGCTAACTAATCCTTCCAGGGCATTCTCAACCGCTCAATAAAGTGGTATCAAATCCGAGAGGCTCTCGTTGATCCCCAAGTCTGGCTCGCCTTCCTTTTTGTCTTGCTCAATGAGACGTGTAACGGAGGTGTGGCCAATGTACGTCTCCCTTCTGCCTACCGAGATCTCTACTCACTACCTGCAGTTCGGCAAACTCATCATCAAAGGCCTGGTCTCCAGTCCTCTCCTAGCAACAGCCCTCGGCATCCCACAAGGAGCCTTCCAGGTCTTCTTCATTCTTTCAGGCACCTACCTCTCCTCTCGATTCAAGAACATTCGCACAATCATCATGGTCATCTACCTCCTCCCCACCGTGACAGGCGTCTGCCTACTTTGGCAGCTGCCCCGAACTAATCGCTACGGAGTCCTCTTCGGCTACTACATCGTAAGTCAACGACCCCTTTCTTGGTGCATACTAACCAAGCAGATCGGATCATACGTCACATCCCTCGTCCTCTGTCTCCAAATGCCGTCGAGCAACACAGGCGGCTACACCAAGCGAGTCACCGCAACGGCTCTCGTATTCATCGCATACTGCGTGGGGAACATCGTCGGCCCTCATGCCTTCTTGGCTAGAGAGGCGCCCGTCTATGAGACCGGATGCAAGCTCATCTTGGCGTGTGTGTTGGGTCAGATGGCGTGCACGGTGGCCTTAAGGGTGTTGTTGGGCAGACGGAATGAGCGGCGAGATGCTGAGGGCGTGGCTCGGCCGGAGGGAGACGCAGATGAGCAGGTTCTGGCGGATTTGACGGATTTTGAGGTATGTGTGCTGTGCTGTGTTGCGTGCGAGCTGCGGTGCAGTTGCTAATGGGGGTAGAATCCTCGCTTTCGATATGTTTTGTAGGCTTGGACAGGATGGACTATGGTGGGTATTTTGGATTCCAATCTTCACAGGATGATTTGACTTTCGCTGCTCGGCTGGTGCGGTTGGTAGATGTCGAAGCGAGGTCGTGTCCTAAATGACTATATCCTGCCCAGGCTGATACTTGGACATCAAGACAAGCGGTTCATTAATAGCCAGTGACTAATGATCCCTCCAATCAATATGCCAACTCTTACTAGCTATCAGTCACACTCGTCATCATTCTCCAAACAGCAGCCTTCGTGATATAAAGTAGCTTCTTCACAAGGTATACAAGGACTAGGACTTTGTTTGGACTTTGGTCCAGGTACGGGGATACTAATTGATTGATATGGTGTACTGTATGATGGCAACAAAGACAAGATACATGCGCCAAACTCCCAGAATCATTCTGCAATAAACTCCATACTCCATACCGCAGATGCAAGCCGGGACTGGCTACCGGACATACTCGACAACAAGCTCGCTATCGCTCACAATAGTCGTGTGCGTCTTGATCTTCCCATCTTGCTCTATATCAATGATCGTCGCATTGGTAAGCCCATACGACTTTCCTCCAGCCTTCGCCTCGCAGCCGGTAAACTCCACACGTCCAAAATCAGCCAGCGGCACCATCGTCTCCCCAGACTGGAAGTCCTCGACGATCCAGTCCGCATTCTGGCCCGCCAGGGTAGCAGTCGGCGACGGCGCCTTCAGCGTCGTCGACACCGTCTTCCCACTCGTCTGGTTCTCGATGATGGCGACGCCCTCGCTCGGCGAGCTGCTCTCCACCTTGACGACGACGACGTCTCCGCGGTTGACGGCCATGTCGAACCCGTGCGCGTTATCGGGAAACCACTCGAACCACGCGTCGTAGCTGTGCGCCCCGTTGGAATCGACGTAGAAGTCCACGCCGGCTTGCAGGATCGCGTTCGCATACGTGTCGCCGTCGATGCCCACCCAGGCGGAGCTGGCTTGTGTGCCTGTCACGCCGGCGACGGCCGTCGCTTCGGGGACGGTGATGGTCGCGGACACGGCGGTGTAGGTTGCCGAAGGGGGTGGCTGCTCGAGCACGGCGCCGGACCAGTTCTTGCTGTAGGAGACTTTGGACTCGGTGGTTCGGTGCTCTGCGTTCGGGTCTGCTTCAGCAGGGCTGGCTCCAGTGCCGTCCATGGGGTGGGACTGCCGAGCCAGAGCCCGGGCGCGGATACGCTCAAGGGACCGGCTGCTGGGGGCAGACAGGGCACTGCCGACCAGCAGGGTGGCGGCGAGGATGCTGGTTTGGAACTTCATGTCGTAGGGAGGTAAGGTGGTCAGTCAACAGGGCTAACGATGCGCTTCCCCGTCGTAGTCTGCGGGTGTGGCTTTGGCTCTTTAATACCCTTAATACCCTGGAGAGAAGAGTCGCATGCGGTTGGGCCTGTCCAGCAGGTTGAAAGTAACCTCATGGTTATCATCAGATCCTTGCCAAACTGACCTGAAGAGTACCCGCAAGCATTCCATCGCTACTCCAAATGATCATGTCACGGACGGAATCAAGTATGATCGACTACCAGGACGGGATGAGACTTCATAATCAAGATCTGCTTATCCGCGTGCGTCACTGGCAATCGAATCACACTGGATCAGCACTGCATGTCCGCTTCAAAGAAGCAGTCAGTATTTTCTGTTGGCTTGATCCATGCCGAGTCGCGTCGTTTCCCGTCAACATTCTGCCCGGTCTATGGACATTGTATAGACGACCAGGCGGACCGACCATCAGAGGGACACAGTGAGTAGACATCAATATCCTCATCCTCACGTCCAACAATAAAATTATGACGCCATGCAAGTGCCTATGCCTTGTGACAGTCCACATAACTGACGAGAGCATCAGGTACCAAACCCGCTGAAAGCGGGTTGGCCGCATTCCTGCCACCGCAAGGGGTATTCGCAACTGCAAACATTGACGCATGCCCTTCCCGGCTGATACTGTCCTGTGTACTTTGTATCGGGCATCCTAGCTAAAGAATGTAAAGTCATATCGCATGGCCGACCGGAAACGTCGCACCAATGAACCCTTGACCCGAGCAAGGATAGACCTACGTCCAGGCCGATGATTCCACTTTGCCAGTTTAAAGTTGGCTCTCATGACGGGATGACGTCCTTGGTACTTGACTAATGTTGATTGAAGTAGATTCCGCAGTAGAGTGTTCCTTGTAGCTGGGACATGATCGGTAACGGTCGTCATGTGTCCGGCATAGGTATCAAGGATGTTTCAAAACGTTCATCGAGATGGTCCGGATGACAGTCGAATAATGCAAGTAAATCAAATAGCGAAAATTGACTAATCAAGCGGTCAAGCCGCAGCGTGAGAACCGTATATGCTGTTAATGCTTCAAAGGTCTATCAAAAACTACAAGACTTACCACAACCCAGCCAGCAAACATAGCACACCCCTTAAAATCTGTAAACGAAAATCACATAGGAAGCCTCGCCATCTCCTGTAAACTCCAATACCGTCGCATATTCTCCGCCCCCAGCGTCCTCACCTCCTCATCCAAATGCTTCCACAGCACATCCCCAAACCCATCCATAAGCCGCTTCACCTCCTCCCGCTGGAGGTCCACCTCGCCACTCCGGCACTTGGTCAAATAATCCTCCAGCTTCTCCAGACCCTTATGGATCTGCCTGTGCTGCGAGAGGAGGTCCAGTTCACGCTGGAACTCGGGCATCCGTTTCGCGAGCACAGGGAAGATGTGCTGCTCTTCGATGGAGTGGTGGAAGTCGAGCTGCGAGCAGAAGCTGAGCCCGGCCATGATGAGTTGGCGTGGGGAGAGTCCGCTGGACTTTTTGCCTGTGCTGGTGCAGGCGTCTTGCAGTTGCTTCCAAGTTAGGCGGAAGTGGTTGTGCTGTAGTTGTTGTTAGCGGGGTGGAAATGGAATGATGGGGGTAGGGCGCGTACGAATTGGTCCATTTGCTCTGCCATTCGGTTGTAGGTTCGAAAGTCTTTGGCTGACAGCGGGGGTAGAGGTTCATTGTTTCCATCCGGTTGACCGGTGGGGTCCGCGGATGCTTGATGCTTCTTCTGGCTCATTCTCGAGAATGGTTGATGCTGGGTTCCCACAGGGAAAATCGATCTGTGGACACGTCGTACTGAACTCAGGTGGAGAAAGGACGGGCTCTGTGTGATTCGAAGCCTTCTCATTGATGTCAAAGGATCTGAAGAGCGTGTAGCCGAGAAGCAGTTGATAGATATATTTCGTAGATAGAGCTTTTCTTCCTGCGCTGTGTATGCCTGCCAGGTGGGGATGGAAGAAGTCGCTGCGAATCAGAAGTATCGGCAAACAAGCAATGCGCATTACAAATACCTGACAAATGTTCTATTTCATATCGCAGGAAAAGGTCCTATGCTACGGTGACTGCTACCAGATCGAAATGATCAGATCTTCAACAGCTCAGACCCACCCCTTTTCTACAGAGACCATATCAATTATCGAAGCGTACATTCAGAATGCTAGACTATATAATTACAAGAATGTCCCAGATCCTCAATGGATGTTTGCCACCTCAACGTTCAAAACTGAACATTGCAAGACACACATCTAGTACGTCACTGGTCAAAGAGATAAATCTCCACTCAATATCAGCACTTCTTCGGCACAACCACAGTCATGAAAGGGCTGGATTGCAATTTGACATCCGTGCTAGGAAAGGTCGAGTAGACCAACAGGCGAGAGCAGCGTAGGTAGACATGGTGGAAAGATGAAGAAATTAAAGGGTGGTATTAGGTAAAAGTATCTCTGCAAGACTGACGTGGTAAGTAAACAAAAACATAAGTCGTCTGCAGGGTCAGTAAGAATCTGGATATCAAAACAGCTTAGGTGAAGGTCGTAACTCCGTGGCAGTAATACAAGGCTATAGCTCTCGGTCACGCAGATGCTTGGGTGGGCGGAAGTTTCCCTTGCGGAGTTCCTGCCACGCAAGATCGAAGCGCGCACCAAAGTACCAAGCGAATCCAATCTGATGGCAGTTAGCAGCAAGTAACAACACTTGCACGGAGCGACGGGACATACCATTACAATAGAAACGAAAACCACAATCACGCCCATCAGAGCCATCATAAAGAGGACGTCTTTGCGGGTTTCGGCCTCCAGTCTGGCCTTCTCTTGTTCGGCTTCAGACTTTTGGCCCACGACACGCCTGTTGGCCTCTTCGGCCGATTGCGACGGGAAGATGGTCTCGATGAATTTTTCGATCTGCGGCTGTTAGCACTTGGACGAATGATGATGAATGGAGGATACTCACCTTCGCACAAGCAATGCCAATCTCGAGGAAATTGGGATCCTTCGGGGTGTTCTTCTTGTGAATCTCACGAGCATATTTACGGAAGGCCTCGTAAAGGATCCGCAGATTCTGCGTCGACTCCATCATCAACTGGCAGGCCTCGCCCTTCTTGATTTTGATGTTACGTTCAAAGATCGCCGGGTTGCGGAAGCAAAGAGAAAGAGTAGCAATGGCCATGGACTGAGGGATGGCGCAGAAGTTGAAGACGCTCTGCTCGCGCAGACCCGCAAGGTAGAAGAGACACTCCTCCGCATGCCCCAATGCGTTCAAAACCATCTCGGAGCCGCAGTTCAGTGCAGCCTCACGATTCTCCGGCTTGAAGAGATCCTCAAAGTCGGTGACGTGCTTGGACCAAATTTCTTTGGGCCAAAACTGACGACCGTCGTCGAAATCCTCACGGACATCGCGAATGATGTTGGTCTTCTGTAAGAAGAGACCCATGGACTTATACAACTCGGTACGCTTGAGCAAGGCGGGGTTACCGAACTCGGCCTCAACGAAGAGGCGAGTTGACCCTTCTCCGACCAGACCAGCAACATACCAGCAATACAGGTCGTATTCCTCGACCGTCTTGACGCTTGCATCGTCCAGCGCAGCTTTGCGACAATAATCAGCCATACCATTGCCCATCTTCTCCGTGATATCCTTGATAACGGCCTTGTAGGCAGGTTTCAATTTCTTGAACTCGGCGATGACATTGTGGAACTGAACCAGCAGTTCACGGTCCTTCTCTTCAGGCCGGTTACCCGTGAAGTTCCAGCCGTCCTGCTCGAGGATGTCTTTGAATCCACGAAGAAGGGGTTCCTTAGTCTCCAAAGGAATCGAGGTGTCATCCTCGATGGTGTCCAGCCCACGGAGTGTCAGGTAGAAAATGCACATGGGAAGCAACAGCTCAGGGTGAAGCTCCTTGATCACCGCGCTGAAGCTCCGGCTTGTCAGATCCAGGAACTTGAAGCATGTCTTCGCTGTGTCTGACTCGTTGGATTCATCACGTTCATGAACAGGATTGTGCCATATCTTCCTATCAGCAAGGACGAGAGGGTGTCCGTAAGCAATGGCACAAACACACTAAGGGCAAGGAGGAGTGCTCATAGCTATAAGACCAGGACCAACCATTGAAGTATCGACCTCAATTCTGAGGGATGGAAGATGTAGTAAAAAGCATTTGCTGCAACGCCCATGGTGAGGTATTTGTAGGGAAGAAGAGGACACGGGGAAAGGAGAGGACGGAACGACGGATGTTGGCGAGAGAGAAAAAAAAAAAAAAATAGTGGGAATGTGGGGAACACAACAAGCGAATCAAGAAGAGCTATTGACACAATTAAGATGTACAACCGGAAGCGAGGAAAGAAGAAATAGATCTCACTGAGAAGGAAGGTGGAGGAGAGTATGAGACCTAGGAGGGAGAAAACAGAGAAGAAGAAAAGATGGGAGATTTATTACTCAGTATATTGAAAAGGGGAACAAAGAGTAGAATATGCACAAGGAGTGGCTGAGGAGCTTTGAGGGCCTGAGGGCCTGAGGCCTGAGGTTGTCAAGGGGAAATTCGAGGGAAAAACGAGTCTTGGCGTCCGTGCATAACAGGCTCCTATCATTACGCGTGTATTACACCCCTCGAGGTCCAGCGTAGTATTGTTCTCCCATTATTTACCCCTCTGCATGGTGTGGCTGGTGGTATTTATGACAGTACCTTACATATAATACGCCGAGAGATGTTTCCCCCCGCCATGACGAAACTGCTGTCGGAGAGCATCATCAGGCAGATAAAAATTATTACTGTCTTGGGTCAGCCGACTAGTCTGGCAGGTTACGATCTGCTTTCCTCCTGATTTTCTCTGGAACTTCTCATCATTTGCGATCTTGCGGACGAACATATCACATTTCTGCCTTGATTGACTCCAAGTCAGCATGGTCGCAGACACTACCTACTACGATGCTTTGGGTGTGCCACCCACGGCCACAGAACTCGAGATTAAGAAGGCCTATCGGAAACTGGCCATTGTGACCCATCCTGGTGCGATTACCCCTATGTCTGCTCGGATTCTTGCTATTGATTCTGACTTCTCGACCAGATAAGAACCCCGGCGATGAGAGTGCGCATGCGAGATTTCAGGCGGTGTGTATACTTCAATATATGGAAGTGTAATGGATGCTAATTTCTCTCGGTACGATCAGATTGGAGAAGCCTACCAAGTTCTCAGCAATGAGGAGCTACGAAAGCGTTATGATAAATACGGAAAGGAAGAATCAGTTCCGGGCGGCGGTTTCGGTGAGTTGTTCAGCTGTGATCGAGCTGTCGAACTATACTGATAGGCAATGAAGAGGACCCGGCCGAGTTCTTCAGTATGATCTTTGGTGGCAGCGCGTTTGTCGATCTGATTGGTGAGATCTCGTTGATGAAGGACCTGACCGCGACCATGGATATCACCATGCAGGAAATGGAGGAGGAAGAACTGGTGGAAGCCGCGGAAGAGAAACTCCATATTCACGATGAGGAGGTCAAGGCCGCCGCCGCGACAGGGGAAGCCAGCCATGCTGCTGGCACCGCAGCCCCAGCCCCAGGACCAGTACCAGCTGCAGCCGCAGCCGCGGAACCATCAGAGAAGCCGGCCCCAACCTCCGGATCGAGTACACCCCGTCGCTACTTGGGACAACAGGCTATCATGGACAAGTCGGAAGAGGAAGCTCGGATGGAGGCAGCCGGTCTGTCTCAGGAGGAGAAGGAGCTGCGCAAGAAGGAGAAAAAGAAGGGCCTGTCTCGGGAACAGCAAGAGCGCCTGGCTGCTTACGAACTGGAGCGAAAGAAGGCTCGTGAGGAGCGGGTCAACACTCTGGCGACCAAGTTAGTTGACAAGCTAAGCGTGTGGACGGAAACCGACAAGGGTCCCGACGTAACCCGTGCCTTTGAGGAAAAGATTCGCCTTGAGGTGGAAAACTTGAAGATGGAATCGTTCGGTCTGGAGATTCTGCATGCCATCGGTGCTACCTACACATCAAAAGCTACCTCGTTCATCAAGTCTCAAAAGTTCCTCGGGATCTCCGGTTTCTTCTCTCGGTTGAAGGACAAGGGCACTCTGGCCAAGGAGACCTGGACTACAATCTCGACAGCTATCGATGCGCAGATGACCATGGAGGAGATGGCCAAGCTGGAAGAGAAGGGCGGAGAGGACTGGACCGACGAAAAGAAGGCAGAGTACGAGAAGAAGGTCACCGGCAAGATTCTAGCGGCCGCATGGCGGGGCAGCAAGTTTGAGATTCAAAGCGTGCTGCGCGACGTCTGTGATCAAGTCCTGGGTGACAAGCGCATCAAATTAGAGAAACGTCTCGAGCGCGCGCACGCCTTGGTTATTGCCGGCAATATCTATTCAAAGGTAAGCTCTTCTCGTTCCCATAACCATGTCACAGGTCGCTAAGTGACCTATAGGCAGAGCGTGATCCCGAGGAAGAAGGAGACTACATGGCCTTTGAGCAGCTCATGGCGGAAGCCATGTCGAAGAAGGGCAAGGACGAGAAGAAAAAGAAGAAGGAAAAGTCGAAAAATGAGCATCACCACCACGAAGAAACCACCGCATAGATACCTAGTCCTGTTCATATCCTTGCCATGAGGCCCGTTCTGCTGTGCTTGTGGGTTACCGCTGTCTATTTACTCTCCTCTATTCGATTCTGTCCTTCGGGTGCTTGGATACGTGCCTATACGCCTTCATGACCCGCTCGGGACTTTACATATTTGCACGTACATTGTATCAAATTTTAATGATAGATTGGGTGTTGACGGCGAATTGTTTCATTAGATATCTGCTGGCTGCTTGATCGTCCAATATATATACAGCCTCGTGATACCAGCTATTGATTGTCGTCTACATCCCTTGAAGTAGAAATTGCTATCTGTTGACCGGAAACAGAATCCCGTACGATCTTTGACTCGGTTATAGTTAGAAAGGCCCCAATAATATCAAATATTGACAGTCCTGTATGTGGTTCCCACGGCTGAGACCCTGTCCCCGCGGTTTGGTCTCCGGCTGTCAGCATTCCACCACACAGAAGATCAGTACTAGCTGCTTAGAATTCGAAGCCTGACTCTCATCTAATAAGAACCATATTGCGCGACAATGTATTCCGGCTTAAGATCATGTTTCTGAAGCAGGAACATGCCATCTCCCAGCTTCCATTGCTGATCATGAACAGGGTGAGCACGCGAGCAACTGCCCAAACAAGCCAAGGACTATCCGTTACAAATGATCAACATCCGGATATCTCGGCAAATAGGTAGTCTCCAAGGTTCACATCCGATCCTTGTCTCTTGATGACTTCGACATGACTGGCGGCTGGCAGCACGCTACTCACTAAACGAAGCTTCGTCGGCGCCACTTGAGCGTAGGGCGAGATGCGTGCCCTCCGACTGGTGTGAACCCCTCAGCCTATGGGGTACGATGTTACCTTGGAGTAGATCCCTGTTACTCCATTCAAAAGCCGATATGCTGTTTACCAGGCTATCGCTGACACCCTGTGCTTGCGTACTCCGTCAATTGCCCGCTGGACCTGACCGATACAAGTACAACCCCGCAGATTGCCTATCTCGTCCAGCCATGGGATCGACGCACGCATATAAAGAGGCACATCTGCCGGATTGCAACCATGATAAGGCAGTACTGAGCAGTCTGTTATTATTACTGCCTTGACCCCATGCCTCAATTCGTTCTTTTTCCCGTTTCAACAGTGGCCTTTCTGGCAGCCTTGGGAGGAGTCTCTGCTGCGCCGACTGCCAGCTGCTCTGCGCATGTATCTGCCCCGACGGGCGCAACTTTCGCGTCTGGCTTTGATATCACAACTAGCTGGGGCAACCTCAGTCCATACAAGGATGCGCCCGGGTTCAATGTATCAAACGGCGTCCCCCGAGGCTGCGAGCTATCCCAGGTGCACGTCCTGCACCGACATGCCCAGCGGTACCCCGTTTCTTCCCTCCTAGATGGCGGGGGAATGGAAGCGTTTGCGCAAAAGGTGAGAAACTATAGCAAACTGCACGACGGCAAAGTCGGTAAAGGGCCGCTGGCTTTCCTCAATGAGTGGGAGTACATGCTCGGCGAAGATACCTTGCAGGTCACTGGTGCCGCCACGGAGGCGACCTCTGGGGCCAGTATCTGGGCGAAATACGGGAGGCTGCTTTATCGCGCTGGGCCAGGAGTCGCGGCCTGGGATTCTTCCCTGAATGTATATCCCAACGGGACTGCAAGACCGAAGCCGATTTTCCGGACGACGTCGCAGGCTAGGATCTTGGAAAGTGCTCGATGGTGGCTGAGTGAGTGGCTCCCCACGGTGCCTGTCTCCTGCGTCTCATACTGACTGATACAGGCGGCTTCTTTGGCAACACCGGTGCAAACAGCTCCTACGCCGAGTACGACCTCGTCATCATCCCCGAGGGAGACGGTCTCAACAACACCCTCGCCTCAGACCATTCCTGTCCAGGCGATAAGTCGGAAGGGTAACACCGTCCTGCCCCAGCTCCCACATGTCTTATTAACCAACCCAGCACTACCTCCGCCACGAAATTCATCCCCAGATTCACGAAACCCGCCCTATCCCGTCTAGCCCACTTCCTTCCCCCAGACTTCAACCTCACCCCGTTCGACATCACTTCCATGATGAACCTCTGCCCCTACGAAACCGCCGCCCTCGGCACCACCTCCCCCTTCTGCACCCTCTTCACCGAGCAAGAATGGCACGACTACGCCTACACCATCGACCTCCAATTCTACGGCAACTACGGCCTCGGCGCCCCCAGCGGCCGCGCCCAGGGGATAGGCTACGTCCTCGAGCTCGCGTCCAGACTTGCGGGACGCCTTATTTCCGCTAGCGACACAAGCATCAACTCTACCTACGACGACAACGCAGCGCAATTCCCGCTGCACCAGCCCCTGTACATGGACATGTCGCACGACGACGTCATCGTCGCGGTCCTTGCGGCGCTGGGACTCGAGTACTTCAAGTATGGAGAGCAGGGTCTACCAGACGTAATTGAGCATGCGCCCGAGCGGACATTCAGACTTAACGAGATCGTGCCCTTCGGGGCGCGGTTCGTCTCGGAGGTGTGGACGTGTCCGACTGAGCCGAAGATGACATTCAAAGAGTTGGACGCGATGCTGTATACGAATCCGGCCGTGAGGGGTACGGACTATATCCGGTTTGTGTTGAATGGGGCGCCGCTGTCGATGCAGGGGTTGGTGGGCTGTGAGCGTGCGGAGAATGGGTTCTGTGCTCTGACGGATTTTCTGGGGGGTGTGGCCAAGTTGAAGGAGGAGGCGATGTATCAGGTTGCTTGTTTTGGGAATTATACGAGTGGGCATCAGGTTGGGGATGGACGGCCTGAGTAGCTTTTAATTTGAATATTCACTATCCATCATGATGGTGCCTGGTGAAGGAACCGATGATTGGAGTGTACCATGGATGCTCCTATTCAGGTACCAGCCAGGCATTGACTGGGATATCTATGGATCGATACTGTCGGATCCCTATGCTGCTCACTATGACCTCAGAGTAGCTACGTGAAGGACTTCGGTTCCCACGTCCCCTCCACATCCACTATCTCCCATACTACTTCTACACTCAGGCAGACTACTACATCTAACACACAATCGTTAACCAGTCACTCGTTCAACATACAAGATGGAGTTCCAGTCTCGCATCGCCCAATACTCCTTTGACGAGATGATGATCGATGATGCAAGCGCGTCACTAGACAGCTGCATGGGCAAGCACCCTTGCGATCTCAATGCAACGTTCCACGAGCTGGACTCCCCCAGCCCACCATCCGCAGAGGAACTCTCAGACACAGAAACAGAAGCTGCGACAGAGATCGCGGAAGAGACAGAGGGCAAAAAGGCGCTGCCCTCCCGTCTAGAAGTCAGCTTTACTACGCCCTTAGACGGCTTTGACCCATTGCAACGCAGGCTATCCAGGCTTACACACAGACTTCGCCACAGCGTTCTGTATTTCTTGGCTCTGTACGGCATTTCCATTCAATATGCCTTGTATCCCATTGAGGAAAGCGGGATTCAGGGCGTACACGACGCTCTACCGGTTGTGCTCCTGGTTGCGACAGAGGATGTGCCAGTGTCAATGTGGAGGAAAGGTGTGAAGCGCGCGTATGAGTATCTTGTGGACGTTGGGGGCTTCCCGGCCATCGAGATCCCCGTGTTGGGACAAGAGGCTCGATCCGAAAACGGAGTGGATATGCGGATGAGCCGTGAGTGCAAGGTGTATCTTGCGAAGCTAGTTGCTCGTGACTGAAGGCCATGGTTGCTTTGCCGAGAAGAAGGTCTGGCTGTCATTTATGGGAAAGGAAACCGAATGCTTTGACGATTTGTTCAAGCTATTTAAGAACCTGGCTTGCAGAGAAAGTCGCCAACTCGCTGCGACGTACTACGAGGCGCTCTGTCTATCGACTAATGTCCGGTATATCAAGCGTTGCTTGTTGCTTGTGAGGCATGCACTAATTGTATATGGGTCAATATCCCGCAAGGATATCGGAAACCTAAGCATGCCGCCATGTTAGGACAAATTTGCTCATATGAAACCAAATGTATATGGCAGAGAGAGGAAGAGAAGCAATGCAAACACATGAGTATCTCTTCTCGATTAGCTTGCTCTATATCACAAAATGCTCCATCAGTGGACATATCCAAGAGACAACAAACATATCGCGCATCGGGTATCTAACAATATACCAGAGAGTGCAAGTAACAGGATTGATAGCGTCACCATGTATCTCCACTTAAGCAGAAAAAGAGAAGTTAACGATGAAAGTAAAGGCTGATGAAACCGGCTGAAGGGTCAAAAGGGCCAACGCCGTGATAAAGAAAAAAAAAATGACCTTAGTACGCCACAAATGCAGTAGATATGGAAATCAGTCAGAATATAAGTGTGAACAAAAAGAACTCCAAAGTGACGGAACAACGGGAAGAGAATGGACGGGCCTGCCCGTCAGGGATGTTGTACAATGAGGAAACTGTGCTCAGTAGCCCTCATTGTCGAGCATCTCCATTAGAGATTCCAACTCCTGAGATGCCGACAAAGGATCAGGAGGTTCAGCAACAGGACTCAACAGTGCACGGGCTCTTTCTGTCTCATGAAGCTCGTCCGGTGAGAGGACTCGTCCGCCAAGCTGTACGTCGTTGACATGCACGCTATATTCGAGAGCCTTCTTGCCTTCTTTGATTAGCTCCTCTGTCCACCCGAGACATCGTTTGAGGCTTTGATTTATTTTCTGACTGTCAGCCAGCAATTCCTGGTGCTTCGCAAGGTCGATGAAGAACCGCTTCTCATCTTTGACCCGATGTCTCGCATCGTGATCAGCAAGCGAATCGGGGCTGACAACGCCCTCGTCCATGGTGGAATCCTCATCACTATAATCCGATAGTTCCTCCGGAGAGCGAATAGACGAGAGTTCGCTTGCTTCCTCGTCCAATTCGTTAGTTATCCCTAACGAAGTTCCGGAGAAGGATCGTGTAGAGGGCGCCACGGACAAACGGCCGGAGCGACTCAGACGGCGATATCTTCGCAACTCTGCATTCTGCTTGCGCATCTCCCGCTCTAGGGTACGATTGATCGCAAGTAAAGATGAGTTGCTGATTTCCAAGTCAAGGATCTTCCTCTCAATTCGCGCATTGAGAACGACGTCGTTGTTTGCCTGTCCAGTATCCGACTTCACCGGACTCTGTGCAGCTGATGAAAGATGTGTGTCCACCGAAGTCATAGATCCATTGCTGAGGATTCGAGGCCTGAGCCCCGGCATCGACTCGGATGCAGCACATTCCGCTTCTGCCGGTGATTCGACCGTTGATACGATAATCGGGCTTGGCTTCAGGCCTTCCTTGGGATGGACACCGCTGCTGGCAGAATCAAGACTTGATGATTTGATGTGCCTGACGGCCGGAATAGGTGGTCTTGCGGGAAAAGCGCCCGAGAATGAGCTATGAGCTTGAGAGCTAACCTCGGAAATGCCATCACGCTGTGAGCTGACTTGTGAAGTAGCGTCCGAAAGTCTCGCCGCGGAGTCAGCGAGCTTAGCTGGCCGTAACCGGGGCGAAGTAGCTGGGAGAGCTTTTGGTGCCAAGGCAGGACGAGACGAGCCTATCGATCGCCGCTTGACCGTCGGAGCTGTGATATTTGCCTCCTGGCCTTGAGTCTGCTCCTCATGTTCTCCATTGGCATATACAAACGTAGCAGGCGAGGATGGTTTGCTTAGTTGTTTGGATCGGATGTCCACCTCGGAAGAATTCGGAGATCGCGCATCATAGGCATGAAAAAACATTCGTGAAGTGGAAGAGTCGGAATAAGAATTCGGCCGTGGAGTATTTGGACGCTCTGTCGTCAGAGTCTTTGCTCGATTCCCTCTGGACGGTTCCAACTTCCCGTTCGAGCGGGCGGGACTCCGCTCCGTTCTGCATCCCCCTGAGCTCGCAACATGGGCGACACCTGTATGCGAATACTGTACTTGCGGCGATGACTGTACGCTGGATGGTGCATTGCTCGGGGACGGAAATCCATCACGTCTGCTATTGCGTGAACCTGATCGAGGGGTTATGTTCACACTGAGGAAGGAGGCGGTCTCGGCATCGGGAGTCGAAGAGGGGTGTTCGGAGGGGGCAAGTCTCTTGGGAGTGCGATAACCACCGGGATTAGCGAGCTTGGGCGTCAATGGAGATTTACTGGTTCGATTGAAAGCAGCACTGAGCGTTGGCGTGAAAGGTTTGGCGAGAGGGCCATTGTTTTGTTTATCGGAAGTCATAGTTGCGGGACTTGAGGGGCGGAAAGGAGGAGGACGACTTATGGCATTGCGACACTCCACGAGGATCTGCAAGCATGGTGGCACTCGGCCAGCAGAAGAGCGACCTCAGCGGCGTCAGTAGTTTGCAGGACGATGCGAGGGTCCCAATACAAATTAGCAGAGGGGAAAAAATTAGTATAGATTGAGGGGATAGATAAATATTGGAGAGGCAAGGGTGACGATAATAATAACAATCATTCTTAGTTTAGACTAGCACATCTGCCCCCAAAACAGTCTAGTGCGTCTCGTGCTTTCACCGCAACTGTTGCTTGAGGCGAAACTCGGCGCATTCCTGGCAGGCAAGTTTAATATCCCCGGTTATTCAGATCGATAATCATGATAATCTGACTAACTAGATCTATCTATATCTGTCAGCCGCTTGGGGATCCCGTGTGATGGTGAACCTTTCCGGGAATTGGCGTTATCGTGATCATGTTGTTCATGCTCCGGTTACTGTTCTCGCATGGGCTGATCGATATCCACCAACACAGTTACTGGGTCAGACCTGCTCAATGACCTCATAAAGAATGTCAATTGACTTGTTTTGAACAATCACGAGGGGTATTGGTGCTAGTGACCGAAAATCAGATGGTGTAAAACCTCAATTAGCTGAGGATCGGTGTTGGATAGTTATAACAATATATTGTATATGACAAGAAAATTCGTTGATGCCACAATTTGCTTTAAGATCAACTGCTTCAAAGATTTCACCCTTTGAAATCATCACGGTAGGAGATATACACCCCTCTTTATAGAAGAAGACGTGGTAAATGTCTAGGAAAGCTGCTGCATGCAAGCGCAGACTACAGCCACAATGTTATGGTTTGAAGACATGACGGGATCATTCCGCACCCAGACTGAAGAAACAAGAGCTGCAATTTCAGATCGGCTCTCTGCTTGGCGCTGGATTTATTATGCGATAGCCTCACATATCTGTAGCACAAACAGAAGTAAGGGGTTGCCTGGTCAGTGAAGTTCAACGTCGCCGTCGAACCGATCGGTGTCTACTGATGTGGCTCGGATTGGCCGCAGCGACAACCTTGAATGCTCGGTCTAATAGGGGTTGGTCTTGCATAACAACAAGATGGGCCGATACTTTATGGCGGCCATATGGAAAGGCGTTTTTCTTGCACGGCTCTGGATGTGTCATGTAAAGAAAAGACGCCTTTGCCGTGGGTCGTGAGGTTCGTGAGACGGCTCTTTTGTCGCCTTTCTTTTTCGTCCAATTACTTTCGGCGTGCTCGCTATGACTACTGGAGATTCATCGGTGGTGCACTGGACGGCTTCCTTGATGGTTTCCCTTGAGAGGCAATAATCGACGTGATCATTGAATGCTTTATCCTCCGCGACCTGAGGCTTTGAACAGATCGGGCAATCCCAGAATTGCGTTTGACTTTCTGACTTAGGAAGTATGGTTGTGTCGCCTCCTTTGTTCGATTGCTCCGTGTCGGAAATTTCCTGGCTGAGCTGCTCCAGCTCGTTGATGTCGTCTTGCCTTTCCTGGCGTGCAGCTTTCTCGAAAGCTTCCTCAGCACCGATTTGCTGCTCTGTCATTGCATCAGGCTTTCTGCCAGCGACAGACCTCGACTGCGACGCCGCGCCAAAGAAGTTAATATCCACTTTCTTCGTGCTAACCAAGTTGGTACAGCGGAGACCAAGAAGTCGCAGTTTCATGTTCGGGATCTCCTTTTCCAGCTTCGCTAGCATAGGAAGTGAGAATGCGTAAAGATCTTTGGCGAGAGAAACTGCTCTGGGTGGCTGACATTGTCTGGAAAGCACCTCAAACGTGGCCAGCTTGACCTTGAGAACTAACGTACGACCTTTGCACTCTGTACGAGCCAAGTCCTTCTCGAGTTCCTGGGCCGTATCCCAGAGTTTCTCTCGGAGTAATTGTTTGTCGCCGATTTCATTGAACGTGCGCTCCGTGCCGACACTTTTTCGTTCATAGTTCTCCACGGGCTGAACCTGCGTTCTGCCCAAGCCGAGAAAGCATTGAATCAGGAAGTGGAATGCTTTTTCTCCAAACAATCGAGTTAGAAGGGCACGCTGAGGGTAAATGTCACCGCATGTCTTTATGCCGATTGCATCGAGTTCACGTTCAAACACGCGGCCGACGCCGTTCACTTTCCGGACCGGGAGAGTTCTCATGAACTCCATAATAGCTTCTCTCTCATTAGGGACACGAAATTGTCCGTTCGGCTTGTTGCGATTGGAACAGATCTTCGCGATCTTCGCGTTGGCCGCGATACCTGCAGAGACTGAGATCTTCGTGGTTTCCAAGATCTCCGCTCGCATACGACTAACAGCCTCTTCCGGGTCGAGATTGTTTTCTGTGCAATAAGAAGTAATGTTGAGATATGCCTCGTCAATGCTCGCGCTCTCGAAGAGAGGATCGTACTGCGCGAAAATAGCACGAATCTCCTGCGCTTTGGCGGTGTATTTCTCATAGTTCTGAGGAAGG